CAGCCCCACTGCTCACCTTTGTCCACCATTATAGCCTCGCAAAAACACCCATCATTCTCAATTTAAAAACTGAATGAAATGGAGATACTATTATGTTTCCACTTTAAAGCTCTAAAACCATAGCTAAATATCCCAACTCTTTATTGAGCTTTAGATAATTCCAGTCTAATTTTAGCTTTGCGGTTTCTCCTTCTCTTTCCTTGTCCTGTTTTGAAGACAAATGTCAGACTGTGGCTGGAGGCACAGAAACTGGTGTGTGCTTGTACCTTTTATTTGGGTTTAAAAGAAGCAGAGAGCAGCCCCTCCCCGCCATCTCTACCTGTTCCACAAACTCACCCCTTTCACTCACTCACCTCCTTTTCTCTTTCATGGCTTCCTCGTCCGCCTGAAAAAGGGGCATTTTTGGAGGCATAAAGAGAGGGATAGTTTTACACCTCCCCAGGCTTAGGAGCGGTGGGGGCAGGAGCAGCCTAGGAGCCCCAGTACAATGTATTTTACATGAAAGGAAGAGGATAGGGTTACGGCGACGATAAGCACTCACACAAATGGTCAGGAGCGACAGGGGACAGACGCACAGGCCGAGAGAAAGAGCACAGGTGTATACGGGACAACTCCTGCCACTGAAATACACGGTAGAAAACTCAACACAGGAGAATGTACCTTGAATAAGTTATAGACAACTCTTGATGGTATAGACTGGACTCAGACTTAAATTTTAATAGCCACATCAAATCAGTAACATCAGCAGCTTTTTACCATCTAAAAAACATTGCCAGGATCAAAAACATAGTGTCTAAAGCAGACCTGGAGATTCTTATCCATGCATTTGTCTCCAGTAGGTTAGACTACTGCAATGGCCTGCTCACAGGTCTGTCCAAACAGGCTGTAAAACAGCTGCAGTACATTCAAAATGCAGCAGCTCGAGTCCTGACTAGAACCAGGAAGTACGACCACATTAGTCCGGTCCTCAGGTCTCTGCACTGGCTTCCTGTGGCTCAGAGAATAGACTTTAAAACAGCTCTGCTTGTGTACAAGTCTCTCCATGGCCTCGCACCAAAATATATTAGTGACATGTTAGTCCCATGTGAACCAGCCCGGACTCTGAGGAGCACAGGGACTGGACTCCTGTTAGTGCCCAGAGTCAGAACTAAACATGGGGAGGCTGCTTTTCAGATTCATGCTGCTAAAATCTGGAACAGTCTTCCTGAAGATGTGAGACAGGCCTCCTCTCTGACAATGTTTAAAACCAGGTTAAAGACGGTTCTGTTTAACTGTGCATACAACTGAGGGATTTTATATTTTTATCTTTCTTTTTAATGTTCTGTGATTATTTATGATTTCTTGTTTTGTTCAGCACTTTTAATTGCCTTGTGTATGAATTGTGCTACATAAATAAACTTGCCTTGCCTTGCCTTGCCTTAGATATGTGGCAGATTCTTTTTTAAGTACTATTTTACCGTAAATGGTCAATTTAGAACTATAATTAAGAATAGCTCTAAATTGACTGTAGTTCATACTTGTTTCTATGGTGCGTCACTTGTAGAGTATTCTGTGAGGATGTTTGAGCTTATGAATTATTACTTCAATATTATTGCACAAGCGTTACAGATGTATACATACAAGTATATTTATTTGCACTAGCGTGTACAGGTTCATACATGTTTAAGTATAGCGTGTGCTATGCTTTATTCACTTGTTGTGTGCTCCTCATTCCTACAGTTCTGTAACTTGTGATGAAACACTGACATTTCCCCACTAAGAACAGGTGAACACGTGTCCACTATAAGTCAGTTGACTTTTGAAACAGATCTCTGAAGTATTTTTCTAAAACTGAAACAGACCTGGTCCAGTTAAAGTGAACCAGACCAAGTGTGAACAGTCACTGTTTTGTGCCCTTGTGCAAGACACATCAGCCATCCTGCCTGTGTGAAAGACTTCAGTTGCAGCCTTACCATCAACTGCCTGTGAAGTTGATGGTAAGGTCGCAGTTGAAAGAAGAATACACTAAAGTATAATGACCGAGTGCTGTCAATACTTACCAAGCACTTTGAGGTGTGGTCGACCATTTTCTTCCCCTTAATCCATTTCTGGGTCGGGAGGTGGCAATCAGCTGCCCCCAATTCACAGAGCTCCAGCCCCTCACTGATCCTCCTGCAGGTGATGAGTCCACAGGAGGATGGCTGCTCTGTCATTGATGACACAGCCTTGATCTTTCAGCGGGGGCTTCTGGCAAAGTGGGGTTAAGTGGGTCAAAGGCCAATGTTCTACCAACTGAGCCACTGTCGCCCCAACTTTGAGTTGCCTTGTGTATACATTGTGCTACAATGTAAATAAACTTGCTTTGCCCTCTACTACAATACAGTTTAACGGAGATGAAAGAATCCAAGACAATCAAAGTTTTAAAATAAAAAATGAGGGACGTTACAATACGGTATTCTTATTTACTCATATTCAACCTTTGTGCAGACACTTTTCACAGACCACAAACTTTTAAATAGAAGAAACATTGTGTTTGCTGTACAGTGATTAGCAGTATTAGCAGCGAAAATCGTTGCTTTTGTCAAATCTTTCTGACTTCAGGGACGACTGCGCTCACTCATCTGACAGGACTCAGACAAACTACTGTTGTTCCACTTGAAGACCAAAGTCTCTCTCGAGGGCCTCTTAAAGAGACAGGACGCCGTGTCTGCTGCACACTCAAACACTTCTAATGTAAACAGTGCGTGTCCTGCGTCTCCAGCGCGCCTCTTTGATGGACACTGGTTTGTTCTTTTGTACATGGCGTCTCGTCAGGTATGTTTCGAGACGCTGAGCTGCACTCCCGTCTTCTCTTGCTGTGAAAATATTTCATTGGCGATGTTTTTGAACAACCCCTCCCATTGGGGTCCAGCGTGGCTAATAATAAAGTGCTTGAGTTGTCAAGCGTTCGTGCAACACCCTAATCTGTTCTGACAGCTCTCCACATGCGCTGCTGCCCGCGCACATGGACACACCAACTTACAGGCAGACTATCAATCGGAGCATTTGTTGTCACCATGGAAACGACATTAAAGTTAGGAGCCGTGATCCGAAGCTAGTTTTTAAGAGTTCTACTTGAATATAAATTAAAACACTCAACTAATTCAGCGACATTTGATCAGATCAGAGATGTTTCCGGGATATTTCAGATCAAATATGCATCAGACATTATATATATTGTTGTCCCACACTGTCACTACTAAATGAGTCCTTCCCCTCTTGACTACTTTTATCATTTAATATTCTGAATCAGTTAAAAATGTAAATGTGTATAATTCTTAATGGCCACAATCCTGTAGGATTTTACTCTTACTTGGAAAAAAAATACACATACACAGACACACACAGATACACACACATACACACATACAGTCACATGTTGCTGCTGCCCCAGCTCAGATCACTCTGTGCTGAGCTGCTGAGGTTTAAACGAACAAACCAGCTGCAGTTCACCAAAGAAACTGGAAACTGGCACTCCAATTGATAAAAACTGTTCTCTGATTGGGTGTCGGGGGTGATATGCTTTCTCTCTGTCTACAGCATGGCTCTACACTTCAGGTCAATGACATCTTAATAACAATAATGACAGTGAAATGGTGCCATCTTTAGACTGAGGCGGTATTGTATCTCCCGCCTCCAGTGGTCCCTACCCCGGGTCTGTGTGAGCATACAGAGCCTGTCTGGTTCCTATTATCCCTGGGTGTGTGTGTGTGTGTGTGTGTGTGTGTGTGCGTGTGTCGATGTGAGGTCAAACGCATGGTGTGAACTTTATGGTCTGGCCTGTGTGTTACTGCACAGCAAGACACTATATACCTCCACTTTGCTTTAAACTCATCTGGACAGTTGCCATGAAGTTGACTCTATTTCATATTTTCCAGGTTCACAAATACAGATGTTATATAAAAATGGTTAAATTACGGACAGAGTATACAAATGTTCTCCGATAAATTTACTGGAGTGTTTCTCTATGGCAGAATACATTTATGTGAGTGGCTTCAGAGGCTGATTTGGTCTTCAAAAATTTCACCAAAAATGTATTTGTGAATGTTTTCTTTTGATTTTATCCACACTATGTCTTTATATGTCTGTGTTTGAATTCTTTTTTTTTCAATCTATGATAGTAAATTCAGTTTTTGAGTTATAACGTTTTAAATAGATACTATAAATGACACTTGAACACACACATTTAGCAATGCATTTGTTACAGCAATACAATTTGTGCAATATTTGAACTAATCTCTTCGTCCACAACTTTTCAATTCACCTCAAAATTATAACTGGGGGATTCTGGAATGACCTCACAGTCTACCTGAGTGTAGTTTTTGTCACCCTCTCACCTGTCTATCTACAGCCATCAATGTCCAGTCCCATCTTTGTATTATTATTTAGTTTCTTGTCATTTTGTTCTATATTATAATGAATAAACTAGCACTAAATTGTTCATGTACGTCGTATGAATAATATTTTTTAGTTACATTTATTTGTATTTTTGCATAATTTAAATCATTTTACAAGTATTAATATTTGTTTTAATGAACTTGCTTGAAAAGTGTAGTTTTTAATTCATTCACTTGGAGTATAAACATAATCATTGTAATTATATGTTTCAGAAATATACTGAGCTTATAGAGGTACACACATGGTCCTCAACGCCTCCAACTATGGCTCGTAACACACATGGACATGCACACATACAAGATTAGGACACAAACTGGCGAACAGCAGCAGAAACTGTACCCCGTCAGTTGTTATGCGCACACCATACAGACACATGTACATTGCAGCTTGTTGTGTAATGTTTATTACACAAGTTCAATGTGAGGCCATTATAAAACTGTCATTGACATAAGATTTATGTAACTTCTTCATTATGTTTTGAAGTCCTCGTGGCCGGATCGATAGTGCCGTCTCGTGTCTGTGCCGTATAGACAATATAATGGTCCGAAGTGGTGTGTAATGAGTGACAGCTGAGGGGGCGGGACATGGGAGGGACAGAGGCAGAAGTGTTCCCCTGTGGTGGAGTGCAGCGGACACCGGCCCATAGGCACACACCGCTCACAGAAGCGTGCCTAAAATGCATCGCGGGAGACTATTTTGCGCTGCTGTGGTGTCCAATCCAGCAATGTAACATGTTTTAAGTTATTTCATTCGGGACCATTACAAAAAGCAGCTGGATTTCGACTCAGCACAGACACTGTTGGATTGTATGAGTTTGGAATGATTTTTTGGGACTAATATACGGGACAGTAACTTGAACATAAGGTAAGAATAGAGTGGAAATGATTCGTATTGAGACCTTAAACAGTGCTGTATGTGTTGTGGTAGTGGACACATAACAAAGAGAGCAAAGAGATGACATATGAGTAATTGTAATATTGCATTTTTACAAGTGTCTCACATTGTAACTGCAATGAAAGATAAAGCTGGGGTACACAACTCTTAGTTTCATCTATATATACATGCGTTTTTTTGGTCTTGTTTAAGCAAAAAGTAAATAACAAATGAGATTAAAACATGCCGTCTTCATCTTCTAAGAAAATGTATTTCCTGAGAGCTGATTGGCTGAGCGAGGGCTGGTACTCTCTTTTCAGTCTGAAAAAGCTGATCTAAAGATGTGACTGAGGCCAAAAATACATGCGTGTGAAAACTAGTGATAGAACAGTCTTGGGAGCTATAGGAACTAGTAGTTACATGGATTCAATCAAAAGGTATATTTTGTGTTCTTTCAAAGTTAGGTACAAATTGATTTCAAAGTTTTTAACAAATTGAAGACACAAACCAAAAAATGCATTTGAAATTAATTTGACTAATACTTTTATCAAAGCAAATTCAGTCCATCCAATTCATCTCATTTATTTTGCTGCAAGATTCCAGGTTAAAAAAATGACTTATCGAAGCTTACAGTTTAGGGTTAAATGTATAGGAAAGTGTCATTAGACCACGCGTGCATGTTTTCCACTGACTCATGTGCGCTGTTTCATATTACTGGTTTCTGCGAGGGTCAAACTGGGCTTTCCTCTGTCATCGCTGCCATTAACTGATTAATAATATTAGCAGCAAATGGCACAAACAAGGCGCTGTGTCCCGGGCTTAAATAAACCATTGTTATTAGTGCTAATTAGGCTGGGTATGTGCGTGCGTCCCGGAGGAGAGGCTTTGAGAGCGGTCAGCAGCAGGAGGTCAGCGACATGTGGCTCAAGTGTCACAAATGATCTTTTTGGTCATTGTTGCCATGACGGAGAGAGGACACATCTTTATTGTTACTTAGGCAAAAGTTATTGACTTTATGGACTAAAAGTTGCAGAGTTCATAAATTATCATTGTCAATTGCATCCTTTTCCATGTTGTGCCTTAATAGTTCTCATTTGGCTTATCACATGTGTACACTTCTGCAAGTGCTTCTAATGTTGTATAGAAAGTATTATCAAATATACTATCACAGTTTATTCTTGTATGTCCTATATATTCAGATATTCAATAATTTGACAATCCATATTAATGTGTTGTTTGTGCCTTAAGAATCACATCAAAAGTTAAACCACAAAATGTAGGATTTGTAAATGCATGTATTATATAAACATGTCATGTCTGGGTTTTTCTATCTTTGAAATGTGTCATATTTTCAACTGACATTTGCCATAATATCCATAAATCTATATAGTCCCCACCTCTATGTTCTATAAATGGAACAGATTTAAGGCTATGTTAAGTTAGGGACGTTTTTGGTTGAAATTGTTTGAAATGGTTTTAGAAATTATATTGCGATGTAGAAATATACACACAACATATATGACACAGAACAGCTATGTGTCATTGGTCAAATATTCATAGTGTATGTTGGTAAATAATAGTTTTGATTTATATACATACAATTGTTTTAGATTTTTTTTCAAATCAAATTTACATATCTAAATAGTTAATTAAATGAGATAATCACAATTTTAACATTTCCAACTTAATTGAATTGTCACCACGAGAACGGCTTGTTACCCGACACCAACGTTTACACTGTTGTTGCTTGGGCTATAATTTTGTACAGGACAATGGTGTGTTTCCTACAATGTGGTCTCGTACTGTAGTGTTTACATAATATATCAGTCTGAATGGCAACTGTACAATAATATAAATTGTTTTTTTTCTTTTACTAACAGAAAACTATAGATTTAAATTTTTTTGAAGAGCAGAACTATTTATAGGCCTAATAACAATATACATATTTTTTTTTAACATGCAAATCCAAGATCAATTCATATCTTATGTTGAATTGTGAATAATAGTCGGATGTCTGGGCTGTAAGCAGTGATAAAAGCTTGGATCAAAGTGCTTGTATTTAATCCCACAGTGACAAAAAGAGCCAATCTTCATTATAAGTGTGTGTGCGTGTTGTGTGCGTGTATATATATGTGTGCGTGTGTGTGCGTGTGTGTATATTTGTGCGAGTGTGTGCGTGTGTTACATGTGGCTTGGCGATTCCCGCGGCCGCGCTGTTGATTTCGTGACTGACAGTCTTGTTAAATTTCAGCAAAGCATGAAACGTGACATGAAAGTGTGTGTGAGTGTGTAAAGTGATCCAGGCGAAGGGACCGACTAACCTCAAAAGCCTGAAACATCTAAGTGCTGCTCCTTATTGGCTCTGGGCTGGATCCCCTAATCACACACAGACCTATGTCCATGTCTTTACGCGCACTTATATACTGCTGTCCTACTTTCTAAATGGGACGAGAATGTTCAGCAGTCAAATTACAGCCGCACAAGACCTAGTTAAAATGAATTCCTCTTTGGTTAGGGCAGATTGTAGTCTAGCTTTTATACAATATGGAGTCCTGTTTTTTAATTTCATGAATAATTGGAATAGTAACATTTTGCAGTCAAATCAAACCACAACATACTTTATCTTATTAGAAGACATTTAATCTTTTGCGTACTCGACAAAGCCCTTGTGAGTCACTACTTCACTGCAATAAGTGACGTAAAATAAATCATGTTTTGAGATAAAAACACTCAATTCAAGCATTTATTACATTTCTGTCTGAAAAAGCTGATCTAAAGATGTGACAGAGGCCAAAAGACATGCATCTGAAAACTAGCAATAGAACCAAACTGTTTTTGAGAGCGAGGAACTAGTAGCATGGATTATATTACAGAGTCAGTTAGTTTATTTTTTTTCAGTCTCTTCATTCAGATTACAATCGTCAACAAAACATTAAAAGAAAAAAACATAAATAAAAGACAAAGGGTCTTGGCTGAAGTTAGACACTTATTGGAGCTAAAGCCCATACAAATCCATTACAATTTAAAGATAGATAGCACCAAGCTTACAGCAAATGAGGCGATAATAATTTGTTTACAAAGTATATATTTATACAGTATAAGTTCATTATTTTGTCGTTGGAGAAAATAGGCACCCCAGCTTTAAGACCCGACTAAAGGAAAAATAATACGTTCCAGACCCCTGCTCGTCTTATATGAGGAACGCATGAAGTATTTCATGGTAATTTTTATAGAAAGATGAAACTCAGCATTAGAGTATAAACATGTTCACATTCTTAGAAGAACTTTGGCAAACATTGCAAAACTATAAAGTTGTTATACAATTATTTCTAATGACTGTGGAGTACTCATGCACTGGTCCCTGTACTGATGTTGTTCAATATACAAACGCTGGAACACTTGGTTTGTATTTTCTTAGCATAGATTTGCTTGAGCTGTTTGGGCTAAATCAGTCTTTTTTGAGTGAACCACTGCCTGAGACTGGTTATTGTGTTGTCCCTGTATGACTCGAGCTCCTATTAAAATAAACAACACACACATTATGTCTAATGAGTTATATCAAAGTCTTTCTCCCACACTGCAATGATCAACATCATTATTGTACTCAGTCCTCAAAAGCTGTGATTTCTCAAATAGCTGGATCTGGCGGTGCAGATCTGGCGGTGCAGATCTGGCGTCCCATCTCGCTCTTTCCATGGGTGTGTGTTTGGCACCTTACGCGTGCCCTACACCTCCTCCGTGTTGACACAGTGATTACAGGGCAGCTGGTCTGCGTTGGCTCGTACCCCGCCCCGCCGTTACTGTTCTAATTAGTTCCTGTCCCAAATAAGAGGCAGGAATTTTAATAGAGAACCACTGGTGCTGTCTGCAGCTCACCCACAGAGCGCACACAGGACGTCCCGCTGCACAACCACTGTCCGCAATGAGCTTGTTGTGTTTTAGTGATTGACACCAGCAAATGCCCCACTGGCAGCGGCGCTCAGAGCGGTGGCTTTAGTGCCGATCGTGACCCGTTAAAGGTGAAGAGTGAGTCCATGACCTCGCATGACCCGGCGGGGAGGGGGCAGGACTGAGGTGGGTCAGGGGTAAACGAGAGAAAGTTAATATGAGTCACTTAGCCGCAGTTAGCGCTTCTGTCACGACGGCGGCTACGATTACTCGCCATCACCAAATACTACTGTTTATGTTGGGATATATCCTCTGATTCACCAGCAGGAAAGCACTCACGCCTCACAGCAGCAACGTCACAGCTCGAGCTGCAGGCCAGACCTGGTCTTTAATCACAGAAACTACTTGAGTTTTCTCAAAAAGGAACAAACTGTTATGTTCTTTTCACGTTGAATCATTTCTATTGACGCGTCCAGAATAACATTCTACTTTCTCTGTATTACAAGTTTTTTTGAATATTTATTGTTAGGAATATTTACAATTAGATCAACACAAATGTCTGGACATATCTGGACCTTATTTGTTGTATTGTTTCATTTGCTCATTTGCATATTCATGGCTATGTGTAAGTGTTGAGAGTAAGCCTTCTGGGGTGTCCAACCATATTGGCACACAACTTTTCTTAGTACTAAGTGCATTTTCACAATTGAGTTTTTCTTTTATAGAAATGAATGATGAGAATACTTCGATTAGTTCCTTGCAAAACACTTTTTGTCTGGACTGCTTTGTGTGTGGAGTTTGAATGTTTCTGTGTCTGGGGGTTTCCCCTATAAAATCCCCATCACTCCTAAACACGAACCACAGGAAAAATCCTCAAACTCAGTTCTTGACCGAGCCAGTATCCATAGGTTGCTTTAGAGACAATGAAAATGGGTCAAATGCAAAAGACGACTTTCCCTGAGGGGACAATCGTGTGACTGTATCTGAACTGAACACATTCCACTCTCATAATCCATTGTTTTAAAGGTCATGTGGACTGTGTCATGTCTGTTTTGTGATGAGCATTTTTGTTTCATGTTTTGCAGGTTAAGAAAACTCACTGTGACTCTCATGTTCCAGACCCCTCCAGCTCCAGGTGAGACACATGCAGAAAAGTGCTGCATGTTTAAAGTCAACAATATACATCTCTTTCACTGTTTGAACTGACCTTCCTCATGACCTTTTCATTCATTTTATTTCAAATTCTCAGAGTAATATTACACATTCCAAACAAAACAAAGTACCTCTGGAATTGGTGATGTGATCAATTATTTTTTACTTTTCCAAACCCATTTTTGACCAACGTCCACAGCCATATTGCCAAAACTAAACTCTATCATAACCTAAAGACAATACCGCACAAGACGTTGCTACGACCTACATTCAGCCAAAGCCTTTACACTCCCGCTGTAAGATGATTAAAGGTTCTTTATCTTTACTTAGAAATGAGATTTTCCTTTCAGTCAAAATCAGTTCCTTCATCAGACCGTTCGAGGCGCTTTCAAAATGACGCAGACAGAAAGCAGCAATGTTATTCTTCGTCGGCGGTGTGTTCTAATAGGATGCAGCGTATTTATGAGCAGTCCGCCGATGATGTAGAAAACAGGGAAAGAAGTTTATGAAACACCAAGCAAGAAATGGACAAGAGAAGACAGAATCATTTCCTGGTGCTGAAAGACAAAAGGGAACGACAAATGAGGAGATCTGGAACAATCAGCAGAGGAAAATGTTGCGCAATCTCTGCAGCTACATGTATTTGAACTAATGTTGTGGTTTCAAAACTATGTAATAATTGATACACAAGAATGAACTATTGAGAAACCACCTATCACATCTATTTGAATTTGAACCATACAAAAATATAACATTCTGCGCCATACGGAAAGGACTTTACCCACACACATGCGCAACAAAAGAATGAAGAACAAAACAAAACAAAAAAGGTACAGGGAGAATTGGTTAAACATATATTATTATTATTATCAAAAAGGGTTTGGCTCTAAAAGGAGTTGGAAGAAGACATCTCTGCAAAAATCCACAATCTTGTTATGATAGAAAAATGCATTTAACACTGTCCTGAAAAGTGTTTTGCCACACACTACCGCACAATTATCAAGCTCAGGTGTATAGTGTGTATTAAAAAGAGCTGGGCTGAATTGCAAACGGACGCACAATGAGTGTTTAGCTGTAAATAGAGAGTTTTGGCAGAAGAGTGTTTATCTTTTGGCTTGCTCTGTGTCTTTATCCAGTTTAAAGCCATATGTTTATACCTGTCATTCTGGTGTGGGTTGCAGTTGTGTGTGTGATGCTAGTGGCCCTGGTCCAGACCGCGACATACGCACACACACACAACAGTTACGTGCGGTGAGGTTTGTGATTGGGGAGGCACTGACTTTTACCATGATTATTCTAATAGAATAGCATTAAAACGCTGACGCAAAAATGTGCACAAACTTTATATACTGTAAAAAATAAGAGAACCGGCATCTTTTAATAATCCCACAACACACAGGGCTGACTCTGCTCAAACAACATCTTTAAGAAGCACAGGTGAGAGAGACGGGAGGAGGGAGAGAGACGCGAGGAGGGAGAGAGACGCGAGGAGGGAGAGAGACGCGAGGAGGGAGAGAGACGCGAGGAGGGAGAGAGACGGGAAGAGGGAGAGAGACGCGAGGAGGGAGAGAGACGCGAGGAGGGAGAGAGACGCGAGGAGGGAGAGAGATGCGAGGAGGGAGAGAGACGGGAAGAGGGAGAGAGACGCGAGGAGGGAGAGAGATGCGAGGAGGGAGAGAGATGCGAGGAGGGAGAGAGACGCGAGAGACGCGAGAGAGACGGGAGGAGGAGAGAGAGAGAGGGGGAGGACGCGAGGAGGGAGAGAGACGGGGGGAGAGAGGGAGAGAGACGCGAGGAGGGAGAGAGACGCGAGGAGGGAGAGAGAGAGGAGGAGAGAGGGAGGAGGGAGAGAGACGCAGGAGGAGGAGAGAGGAGAGACGGAGGAGGGAGAGAGAGGGAGGAGGGAGAGAGGGGAGAGGGAGAGAGAGGGAGAGGGAGAGAGAGCGAGGAGGGAGAGAGACGGAGGGAGGAGAGAGGAGAGGGAGAGGAGGGAGAGAGACGGAGGAGGGACGGGAGAGATGCGAGGGGAGGAGAGATGCGAGGAGGGGAGGAGGGAGAGAGACGGGAGGAGGGAGAGAGAAGCGAGGAGGGAGAGAGACGGGAGGAGGGAGAGAGACGGGAGGAGGGAGAGAGACGCGAGGAGGGAGAGAGACGGGAGGAGGGAGAGAGAAGCGAGGAGGGAGAGAGACGCGAGGAGGGAGAGAGACGGGAGGAGGGAGAGAGACGCAAGGAGGGAGAGAGACGCGAGGAGGGAGAGAGACGGGAGGAGGGAGAGAGACGGGAGGAGGGAGAGAGACGGGAGGAGGGAGAGAGACGGGAGGAGGGAGAGAGACGCGAGGAGGGAGAGAGACGGGAGGAGGGAGAGAGACGGGAGGAGGGAGAGAGACGGGAGGAGGGAGAGAGACGCGAGGAGGGAGAGAGACGCGAGGAGGGAGAGAGACGGAGGAGGGAGAGAGACGCGAGGAGGGAGAGAGACGCGAGGAGGGAGAGACGGGAGGAGGGAGAGAGACGGGAGGAGGGAGAGAGACGGGAGGAGGGAGAGAGACGGGAGGAGGGAGAGAGACGGGAGGAGGGAGAGAGACGGGAGGAGGGAGAGAGACGCGAGGAGGGAGAGAGACGGGAGGAGGGAGAGAGACGGGAGGAGGGAGAGAGACGCGAGGAGGGAGAGAGACGCGAGGAGGGAGAGAGACGCGAGGAGGGAGAGAGACGCGAGGAGGGAGAGAGACGGGAGGAGGGGAGAGAGACGCGAGGAGGGAGAGAGAGGGAGGAGGGAGAGAGACGGGAGGAGGGAGAGAGGGGGAGGAGGGAGAGAGACGGAGGAGGGGGAGAGACGGGAGGAGGGAGAGAGACGCGAGGAGGGAGAGAGACGCGAGGAGGGAGAGAGACGCGAGGAGGGAGAGAGACGCGAGGAGGGAGAGAGACGCGAGGAGGGAGAGCGCTGCCTCACCTCGTCTCGTTGAATAGGAAAAATTGGATTTCAGCGATTTTGACTTCAGAAATGATCAAAACTAGTCGGAACCGTGCCTAAAATACATTAAAATCAAAGGACAGTGGAAAACAATTATATATTACAACTAAAATCCCCTGACTGCACGTCACTGACACACACATACACACACACACACACACACACACACACTCCCGCATGTTTTTTGCTCTTGCTTCATCTCTGTCACTGTGAGCTTTGAAGTAAAGCACACAAGACACATTCAACACTCTCTTGTTGATGCAATACATTTATAAGACTAATAAGGCATTTAAGAGAACCTTTATTTGTCATCTTTACTGGGTTTGTTTGACCTGTTGCCAGTTAGCACAAAAGCAAAGTCATAGATTATGTTTTCCTGAAAATATAGAGTCAAATTAAAAAACATTATGTGAAGAAATGAAGACGGAGGCCGCAGCGATCGCACCGGTAATCCGGTTTATTTTTGAGGTCTTGCAGATAGAACAAAAGAAGACAAAGCTCTTTATATGATGTGTGTCAGAGAGACGTCATCACTTGAGATATTAATGTCTCATGTTTAAGATATAGATAGTAGCAATGTGGGTCAGAACAAATTCGTTCAGTTCTAATACATATATATAACGTACGCTCAAAGATTCCCTTAAAGCCACTCTGAAAACGTGTAGCATCAATCCAGACACCCAGACAGTGTGTACCAACCGCACACATTGGAGGTCACAAATAAAACAAGGGACATATGACTGTGAAGATGAGCGAATTGAAACTTCTGAGCATAAACACCAAACAAAGAAGCAGCGTCTTGCCTCAACCACTGGCAAGATTCCTTGCCCCCACTGCCCTCACCTCTTTCGGCAACAAATCTGGTTAACCAGTCACCTCAAACCCACTATAATCTCTCTTCATTTGGAGAACAGATGCTCATCTTCGAAACGATGGAGGTATTATTATTAGTACATATAGAGCAGTGGTCCAAAGTCCAAAACATGCAGGTCAGACTCTACAATGACCCGCCATGTTTCTTCGGCCTCATGAACTTCTTCACACGACTACATTCCCGACCTCGTGCACCCCGGTGCTCTTGCATGGAGCACATTGTAAAAGTAAAGCATGTTGGAAGGCAGCGGGTTTGTTTTGGAGCAGATACACACCCCTCACTCTATAAAGAGCCGTGGCCCGCTGACAATGTCCTTCACACATGCTGCGGTGGGCTAACTGCTGCTTGGACATGTGGGGATTGTGGGCTTTATGACTATATGTGAGGTGATGGTGGTGTCAGAAGTGAGATCCTCTCCAGCTTCATCATCATCATGTCTTATCTATTTCCGGAACACAATGTCTTTTTTTGCAGGTCTATGGAAATGCAGGAGCTATCACGTCCTCACAACTGTTTAGGAGTTGGGGACTCGACAGGCTCCAAGCTGGACAAGGACAATCTGGGCAGCCCCTCGATCACCACCAATGGCACAGGGGGTGAGTGCACATGCCGCTGTGGTTAAAATCAGAAGTCCCTGTTCATATTTATTCCTTACAGTTCAGTTGTTCTTGTATAGCCCTAAATCACAGCAGTAGTTATCGTGGAGGATTTGCCAACACAGATCAGAGAATCAAACAGTCACAATAAACGCAATGATAAAAAACCAATTGGTCCATTAGGGGCAGATGACCAATGTCCATTTCTTATTCATGAACAAAGACCTTACACTGGGACTCTTCTGACAAATGTGTTTTACGGTAAAGAACTGCTTATGTTGAGTTTTTAAAATGAGACAAAAGGAAAAAAGGCACAGGCAGAAAGTACTACACCACATCAGACTGTGTGTAAACAGACTGAAGGCCTTCTCTGGCAGCGTGCGCTCTGTGTGTAGTAGAGTATTTATTTGAGCACAAGCCCAAAGTCCCACTGGAAACTATTTTCTCGACAAGAGCATTGAATCATCAGCGCTCTTTTACATGTCAGCACCTCTGAGCTGTTCCCTCACTCCAACTCTTTCCTCTTCCATTCACCTCTGACCTGTCTTTAGTCCGTGGGTTCATTGCCATTGAATCTAACTGTGATCATGGGGATTCTTTGATCCGTTTCAAAAAAACCTTTATTAGCCCTTTTGGATGGGTTGATGTGCATCTGCGTTCAGACCACATGTAATCATCTGTGAGCTCATAGTTAATGGCTTATGCAGAGAACATTAAGTCTATATCTGCAGCCAAAACAAAGTGCATACCCAGCATTCCCTTCACTTGACATCAGACAGTGCCAGGGCAACTCATTTGTGCTTGTTGTTTGCCGGCTGCTCAGCTCCTGTGAGCAAGAAATATAGTGAAATGTAATAGGCCAATTGTTTGGTGATGGCTGTACTGATTAAAAGCTGTTAGGTCCCGTGAGTGATATCCTGACCATCTTCATCCCTTCAGGTGAAAACATGACAGTGTTAAACACGGCTGATTGGCTGTTGGGCTGCAGCAGCCCGTCCCCCGCCTCAGGCTCCAAGGACTATGGTACAGCCGGCGCATGTGTGTGAATTTACCCTCAACAGTTGGTTTGGTCCTTAGGCTCCTTATTGTCATTGACCTGCTGTCGTTTTGGAAATGCAGTGCTTTTTGTTTGCAGTTATGTTTGCTTGTGGAATTTCAGTTCTGTTTCAAAGATGTGAGATGATTTTTATGGGGTTATATGAGACAATTTAATGACCAAACATTTAAAGATGTTATTTCTGATATTTAATTAGCGTGAACATTTGGTATAATCCTATAAAACAGAACCAATATTAGTGAATCCTTTAGGAACGGCAAGCATGTTCCATTCTTTGATTTTTGTATTTCCTTTTCTTAATAACTAAACAAACACATACAAAAGTCTTGCACTATCTATTCTGCATCTAATGTTTCACGCTTAATTCTTGTTTCAGTAAAAACGGAGCCGATAAACAACAGTGACACAGCGACCACCTCAGGCGACACCGTCCTGGACACGTACGCGGGCTCAGGTGCTCACGCTTCTCATGCTACACGTGACAAACAAATGTGCGATGTGACGATAGCTCTAATCCCCTGAAGAATGGCCTGTCCTCAGGTCGCCCCGTCACAGAGCACAGGTTGTTTACGGGGGTCTTTATAAAACATTACCCTGACCTGCGCCTGATGTCACAAAGGCTTTACCGGCAGCAGGGAGCATGTCGTTTCTGCATTTTGACGTCTCAATGGCCGCACACGAGCGCCAGGCCTCCTCCCAGTGCACAAACATGGCTGCTGTGTTTTTTTTTGTACAGCAACATGTTTGATCCAGCTCGGGCTGGATTGTTTACAAGTTGAAAGGGAAAAAGTATCTGACAGAGTATTGTGTTTGCAGTCATCACCAGCAGCGGCTACAGCCCTCGATCAAGCCACCAGTACTCTCCCCCGCTCTACCCGTCCAAGTGAGTCTCGTCTTCTCTTCAGGAAATATTTATCCTCAGTAAAAAAAAATCTGGATCTTTTAAGAAAAAAAGCAGTATAGTTTTTATTCTTTGTGACTTTTTCCTGTCTTTAAACTGCTCCTAGACTGGTTCAGAGCAATTGCTAGTTACCGTAGCAACACACTGTTTACTTGCATCTGTTAACATTCTAATATAAGTACTCGTTTTTTGGAGCGATTTTTTCCAGACTTCCGTTCATTTGAATGGGAGCCGTCAAAATGACTGCTCTGCGAGTTCTAGTCCTTTCAGAATTCTGGTAGCCCTAGTGTTAATAATAATAGTAATAATAATAGTACCACAAAGTATAGATTATAAATGATAATTATTTATAGTGCAGTTTACTTGTGCAAACAAAGTGCAAGAGTAGGTTTAAAAGACCCACGAGCAAAACATCAGAATAAAAAGTTTACAAACGATGTATAATGACGGTGTTGCTCAAGGGTAGTTGGCCTTCCTAAACAGAAGTTATTGTGTGAGTCATTTTTAGAGTCATATATTAGTCAGCCAATATATCCGGCCGCTATTCAAAGTTTTGGAACAATCGCTATTGGCCCTAGCTTTTTCCCTTCAAACAAATAAAATACTGAAAATCCTGGCGCTCACGCTCTCCCCTCCTTCTCTTCTTTAAAATGAACGTATTCAATATTCATAAAGTCTTTATGCAGTGACCTCTATACATGTCTTAAATGCCTTAGCAATAACACTGTTTATTAGCGGCCGTTCAAATGTTTTAAAAACATAGTTAGCCTAGTCTTTGATCTGTAGTCTTATAAAAGTGTGTTATATATATATATATAAATGTGATTTGATGTGGTAGTTGATTTGGTTATTTGTTAATCCCAGGCCATACCCTCACATCCTCTCCACCCCCACGGCTCCGCCCATGCCCTCTTACCCGGGACAACCCCAGTTCACCAACATGCAGCAATCCACTGTGTATACCACCTACCCTCAGACGGGACAGCCGTACGGACTTTCAACATATGGTAAAGTCTCCAGTGTGAGGAAGACACCGTTCATCTCTTTTTGTCTTAATGAGCTATAAATCCTCTTTAGACCTGGGAGTTATGTTGCCGGGGATAAAGACCGAGAGTGGTCTTTCCCAGAGCCAGTCGCCGCTCCAGACAGGCCTCAGCTACAGCCCTGGATTCACCACACCTCAGCCGGGACAGACTGCCTACTCACCCTATCAGATGCCAGGTCTGGAACAAGTGCCATTTATTACACTAGATTTCACACATGTTTTGTGATCATGCATGTGAACATGCAACGCTAAGCTACAGGCCAAGAACTGCGTTGTGTGAATGGTGTAAAATAATGTATCTTATTTGATATATAATTTTTTAATAATACTACATTGCTGAAATTATGAGCACGATAATAACAGATGCTAGAATGAAAGAAACGGAGCAAAAAAAACCATTATAGTAGATATGGTTAAGGGAATACAAATACAGTTTAGTTTTTGTCTAGTTATTAGGATTTTTTTTTTTTCATTAAAGTATGAACATTTATGGACAAATGGGTTTGTATAATCCTTTTAAATCAATGGTATTTTACAGTAAATTTAACTTTCAAGATTACTTTTTTTGTATTGTAGTAGATACATTTTATAAACGTTTCCCAGGAAAGGCACTAAAAAGGATTCTGCAGCTCACCTGTTGAGAACCACTGCTTAGCGTTCATACAATTGCAACATCACTGAGTTTTACCTGGTTGGCAAGTGGAAAATATGCGTCTGTGGGTACATTCATCTTTTAGTATTTGATTTCTTGTTTCTCTCAGGTTCCAGTTTTACTCCGTCTTCAGGACTTTACACAACGAACAACTCAAACCCCGCCAACTACACTGCCACACAGCAGGTACGGCTACAGCAGGAGCCACCAAGTTCAAGTCAAGTGAAAGATGTTTCGGTGCTATGGCGTCCGAACAGTGGACGCTTGAGTTCTGATCGGTGTTTGGCAATAAAGACTGTACAAGACTAGCCCTTTGAGGAATATCATTCGAAAAGACAGAATGAATGGTGACATTTTAGTCAACGCTAGGCTACATATGCTCTCTTGTACATCAGCCTGCATTCATGTTACTCCTTTTTATAAGCGCTTATAGTAGAACATAGTGACAGGTTTAAAGATCCAACTCATAAAAGCGTCTATCTCCAGTGGGCCAATAAAACTAGCAACACAAGGCTTTAATTGTCCTCACGAAAAGAAGGAATAAAAGATAAAAAGGTCAAAAGGGAACGCCAAAGAAAATCTGTCCTGATTTTGTTTTGCTGTTTCTCCAGGACTATCCCTCATATACGACATTTGGCCAAAACCAGTATGCCCAGTATTATTCCACCTCCACTTATGGGGGATATATACCCTCAAACACTGTGGATGGGACAGGCGCAACCACAGCCTACCAACTTCAGGACCCCTCCCCAGCCATGACGGGACAAGCCGCTGAACTCCATCCAGGTCGGTATCTGCATCACATACACACATGAAGGTGACACACCCAGCCATAGATTACATTGTTTTAGGCGTACATTAAACACTTTTTTACACTTATATCATACAAAGATCAAATATCCACAGCAGCCCAGGAATATACGAACTAGAAACTACTTGCCGAGAAGACAAGGCAGGTTTACTATCAGAGAGGATCCACAACTACCGCAAATGACTTCAAGCTTTCATTGATGTTTGTATTATGCAAATTTTAGTTTTTAGAGCTTTAACAACATTGTTCTCTCATCAAAAACAGACATGGGGTTACTTTAGATCCATCCACATTAACAGCCAGAAACTTCTGGCTCAAACTTTGCCCTTTCTGTCTGAATGTTCCTGTCCAAAATCCCCATTAAACCCAACCTTTGAGAACGTTCTAGGTTCTATGACAGCTGAGAATGAGCCACTATGGGAACTTTCCTTCGTTGCCCTGTCAAGCAAAACAAAAAAAGACAAATTAAATTTTTATCTTTTAAGAAGGTCCTTTATTCGTCCTACAATGGGGACATTTCAGTTTGACGCATACACATATACTGTACATATACATATACATATACATATACATATACATATACATATACACATACAGCCAACATTACTTCCGCTTCCGGTAGCAAAGAGAAAGAGAATATAAGACGAGTATCTTTCATGCTTTCTTTGAAAGGGCTAAACACAGTATTGAGAACTGGGAACACGTTTATCTGACTATAAATTGCCTCACACAACCACTAACTTTCAGTGAATAAATATTTTGTGTTATTTTTCCTAATGTCCAAAATATTGTCAAATGTCTGAGTGTGTGAACTTTCAAGCACACTTTCCGTCACTTTGAATAAAAAATAAAGCATCTAATTTGCTGATAAAACCTCGTTGTATCACTCCCTCTTTCTGACTTTCTCTCTTTCACCCCGTTTTGACTTTTTTTGTGTGTTTTCTTCTTTGTCCTCCCCCTCACTCGCCCCATCCTTCTTTCTCTGTGATTGAGACATAACAAAACGAGCAGCGAAGCTTTGGGTCTGGTTCTAGTTATGAAGTTGAGGTGGGAGCATATGGCATCGACTGGGAGACTAAGAAATGGACACAATATTGTAAATAACTTTATGCATAGAGTTTTAGATTACATTTTCAACTTATTTATAGCACCCATCGCCTTAAATCTTCATGTTATATGTGAAGAGGGGATTTTAACATGATCTGTCTTGCCAATTACTTTGAGTTATTAAACCTGACAACATGGCTTATAGCTGCTCAACTCTGACTTATGACTTCTCTCTAAGTGGATACAAGGCCGCGGCACCTGTGGGATAAGCGCGGGCCACATCATTACCGTTAGCATCGCTCCAAAGTTGTAAATATGCTGCAGTTTGTGAATGCCTGGATTGTTCGAGGCCTGATATTTGATCATTTGTAAATTTTGAAAATGTTTTGGTTTTGTGTTTGTGTGCGATCCCAGGGGATTTTGACACGGTACAGAGCCCCTCCACGCCCATCAAAGAGCTGGACGACCGAGCCTGCCGGAGTGGGGGGTCCAAGTCGCGAGGCAGGGGCCGCAAAAATAACCCTTCCCCTCCCCCTGACAGCGACCTGGAGGTAAGAGTGCAAAACATGGGAAGGGTCCAACAATCATAAAGAGGTACAGTGAGGAGACCACCTATCATTGTGTGTTTCATCGCCTCTCAGGACCTTTCAATAACAAAGATATATTATAAAAACAGTCACAGCATAAAGCTTAGAATATAGTTAAAGCTCATTAAAGCTGGGGTACCTAACTTCTCATAAATAGTACAAGTTGTTTGCGCCTATACATAGAGTACAATACTGTAAATCCCAAAAGAATTCTGAAATCTTTGTGAGGCTGGTTCTTTTTCCCTTTTATGTCAAAAAAGCTTATAAATGCAAATTTCTCCAGCTAAATGCGGACAAAACCGAAATGATTGTCTTTGGTCCCGAGAAACAAAGAGAGACCGTCATTTGTCACCTTCAGTCTCTCTCCCTAAGGCCTTTAAATAAGGTCAGAAATCTGGGAGTAATAATGGACTCTGACTTAAACTTCAATAGCCACATTGGATCGGTAACATCAGCAGCTTTTTATCATCTGAAAAATATTGCCAAAATTAAAAATATTGTGTCCAGGGCAGACTTGGAGATTCTTATCCATTCTTTTGTTTCCAGTAGGCTGGATTACTGCAATGGCCTGCTCACAGGTATCTCCAAACATGCAGTAAAACAGCTGCAGTATATTCAAAATGCTGCAGCCCGAGTCCTGACTAGAACCAGGAAGTACGACCACATTAGTCCGGTCCTCAGGTCTCTGCACTGGCTTCCCGTGGCCCAGAGGATAGACTTTAAAGCAGCTCTCCTGGTGTACAAGTCTCTCCATGGCCTTGCACCAAAGTACATCCATGATATGCTAGTCCCATATGAACCAGCCCGGACTCTGAGGAGCGCAGGGACGGGACTCCTGTTAGTGCCCAGAGTCAGGACTAGACAGGGGGAGGCTGCTTTTCAGATTTATGCAGCTAAAGTCTGGAACAGTCTTCCTGAGGATGTGAGACTGGCTGCCTCTCTGTCAATGTTCAAATCCATGTTAAAGACTTTTCTTTTTTCCTGTGCATACAACTAGAGAATTTTATCTTTTTAACATACCTTGTTATTTATTGTTGTAACTTTTTGTGTTTTTAACTATTTTATTGTTTTTAATTACTTGTGTGATTCTTATGTTTTTAAATTACTTATGTGATTTTAATGCTTTTTAATTACATATGTGTTTTTAATTGTATTTTAATGGTGATGATTTGTGCATTGTGTGGTGTGGACTGTGAGGCGCTTTGTGTTGCCCTGTGCAGGAAAAGCGCCCTATAAATAAAGATTGATTGATTGATTTATATACAGATATGTACAGGTGTATTTATTAGATTTAGAGATTTAGAGTTAGATTTTTTTTAATATAGATTTCATTTTTGAAGTTTGAAAGTTAGCTACACCATGTTGAAGTAAAACCATGAAAATGCTCGTCTAAAGTTCAGCATTGAATTGAAACATTGGTGTTTTATTTTATTTTCCGCAGAGAGTTTTTGTGTGGGACTTGGATGAGACGATCATTGTCTTCCATTCGTTACTCACAGGATCGTATGCACAAAAATATGGCAAGGTAAGTTTTAACATGAGTTGGTGTCGTTTAAGTCATTCTGTGTCAAATCAGCAAGATTCTTAGAACTTTCTGTAAATTCACATCATTTGGTGTATATACTTTTTTATGTAATGGTGAGAAAAATGAATTAATATCTTCCACAGTGACAGTAAAGATAGAAGTCTTCTAGGTTTTATCCAGACAGTTTTTCACAAACCAGAGGAACTTATTAGAGAAAATAACTTTAAATCAGCCACTTTCAACTCTATTATGAATATTCTACTAAGTTTTGAGCTACTGCACCACACCCAATTCTAGTAGCCTATCTACTGGATGTTAATCAGGAATGAAATACCTTGTTTTCCAGTGCGCTGATCCAATATACAGTAAATACAAAAAAAGCGGTACAGAATGTCATATGGCCTGACTGACTTGGCTCTCATCCAGTTCACCTGTGGTCAGTTTTACAGTGGGTGACATTATTTCCTGCTGGCGAGGGTTGGTTTTAGTTCCGCTGATATGTGGTTTGACATACATGCATTTAAATCCTGAAATGGATCGCAGTTGTAATGGTGACGACTGTGAGAACAAGGGCATGTTGCTTCATTTAAGTTTCGGAAGTAGGTTTTAATGGCTTAGGCCCCGGAGAGCAGTGAATGTGTGTTTGAGTGCGAGGCCGGCCGCACCTCGGAGCCTGCCAGTTTACGCTGTAGTTAATGTACCAAAGCCATGCGATGAAGTCACTGAGCGAAAAGTGCACTTTTTTTTACCACAAAATGATTAACGACGTGACCCATTGTCAGTGAGGTGTGAGATGATGTCCTCGGATGTTTTGTCACAACTTTGCACAACTGAATACTTTGCACTCATCCTTGTTAAAGTTTTTTTTTTTCTTTCATTTGCTGCTGACGCTAAGACATATAGCAGCAGCTGTGTCTGTTCACACCTCGCCCAAAATAGTGTTTTCACTGTTGACATAGCAACCACCAGGCCAGGCCGATGCACCTCCACATAAGACGTTTGGACAATAGAGGAGCCAGATAGTTCTATATTAAATTATATTTTAGAAGCTGCCGTTTAGGTATTGAAAGTCTGTTGTCTGACTCTGACTGAGGCGCTGTGGTTGATATAATTGACCAGATAAATAAAAGGCTTTTGAAACCTGGAGTGCTGCCAGGGCTCCTCAAGGGAAATTATCATTTTCGGTTTTGGCTTTTCTGACAGCTGTAGCTGCGTTTTGGCAGTGGGCCCACTTAATTACTGTTTGAAAGACAAACTCAAATGCCTCTTGTCTCACATCAATACAAGTGAATGAGTTTACAGCTGCTGTCAGTGGTGGACGCTTTTCACTTTCGCACACTCTCCCTACTCTCCCTTCTCTCCCTCACTTTCTCTCGCTCCTCAGTCTTAGCTGTAGCTGCGGTCTATTCTGGTCGACTGACGGCGTCAGCAAATCGCGCAGTGAGCTGTCGACCCTCACTGACCTATCACAGTTGATGTTTTTTGCAGCTGAGCTTGGACTGGCAGCGCAATGTGCTCCCCTTAAAGCATTCGCATGCCACATCGGCTTTACCTTGTTCATGTAAAGACTGTGCCACAGGCCAGAGGAATGATGATGGGATAGAGCAAGTGCAACCTGCCTGTCAGCATCTGGGGGTTCAGTGAGGCCTCTTAGGACTCCAGGACACAGGAATCAGACACCAGTAGAGATGGTTTCAACTGTTTAAAGGGAAAAAAATCACTGTATGAAAAACATGAATGTAGAGACAAGTTTGTGGTGTCACTAACCTGAAGGGTGCTCGACAGGACCCTCCTATGGCTGTGACTCTGGGTCTCAGGATGGAGGAGATGATCTTCAATCTGGCGGACACTCACTTATTCTTCAATGATCTGGAGGTAGGTCTCATTTGAATCTGAATAAATACAATTGTGTAGTCAAGTTTGGCAGAGCAGGCAATATGTGGCATGCTACCACTGCCCTCTAGTGGTTATAAGATCAACTCTCATCCTCATTGGTCTGATTTGTCTTAGGAGTGCGATCAGGTTCATATTGATGATGTATCATCTGATGACAATGGTCAAGACTTGAGGTAAGAATACACTTTGAAATATACATTTACTGTGGGAATAATTACATTTTTGATATGTTGTTGCATGATCTCCACTTGAATTTTTATTTATTCTAAAATGTTTTGTGTTTAAGTAAAACATTTAAATAAATCCACAAATTCTGTAATGTTTGAGCAGATTTTTCAAGTAAAACATATCATTATTATTGACAGTACTTACAGTTTTGCAACTGATGGCTTCCATGCAGCTGCAACCAGCGCCAATCTGTGCCTGGCTACGGGCGTGCGCGGCGGCGTCGACTGGATGAGGAAACTGGCCTTCCGCTACCGCCGCGTCAAAGAGCTCTACAGCTCTTACAAAAACAATGTGGGGGGTAAGGCATCAGAGAGTGGCTCTGCTCCTATGACCAGGATGTGGGGTTAGACATGTTCAGCATCAGCCCAATTTGAAACATCTTTCAAAACTAATCAGGAGTTAAAGGAACAGTGTGTGACTTTAAACTTCACCTGCATGATTCCATTTAAAGAAAACACTTTTTTCATGCTAAAGTATTGCCAAAGCAACATTTCCATGGACACGACCAGGTACAAGTCAGGTTTGTGGAAGTGTAAGCTGGTTCACAGTAAGGATGTGCAATAATAAGCTAAATGGAATGTCTAATCTTTTGGACAAGTTTTTTCTTTTGTCCAACAAGATTACTATGATGGAGATTTGAAATATTTCAAAATGTATATATCTTTTATACAATTTTATGTTCACAGTGGAATCCCTAAATCCTGTTCTCTTTGTGACTTTACATTATGATTAAAATTCAGCATGTGATTCAGCTCCTGTGGTCCAGCTTCATCCGTGCTGTGGTGTGTTGCAGGTCTGTTGGGTCCGGCTAAGAGAGACGCCTGGCTGCAGCTCAGGGCAGAGGTGGAGGCTCTGACCGACTCGTGGCTCACTCACGCACTCAAGTCCCTGTCCATCATCAGCTCCAGGTTACACTCACCTTTATACAAACCTTTCCATTTATAATTTGTTATGATTTGGGTCAAACAATAACTCTCCTGTCTGGTCCCATAGGAGCAACTGTGTGAATGTACTGGTGACGACGACACAGCTCATCCCAGCTTTGGCTAAAGTCCTGTTGTATAGTCTCGGCTCCGTGTTTCCGATCGAGAACATTTACAGTGCAACAAAAATAGGTAAAAGACACAGACACGTCACTCACATCACGTGTCATTAGCTTGACCGTGCAAGGAGCATGACTATAGGCAAAAAATAAATGGCGTTGAAATTAATCTGAGAATGTTTCTACTGTAGGCGGTACCATGAGAGTTATTATTAGGCCTTCATAATTATACACATGTACCAAGGCTGCAATATTGGTGATACAGTATCATCACTTAGTGTCACTATCAAGTATATCATGTCATTATAGAATCATACTATAACTTCAGTTAGGACTTATGCAGTTTTTGACAAATGCAACACTTATAACTTTTTTCATAACTCACTTTGCATGTAAATTCATGGAAAAGTATATACAGTAAGCTTATTTTTTAGCCTAACATTCCAAGACTAGTATAACTCCAGAAAAATCAATTGTGTAAACATAAAAAAAAAAAAAACAGTTTCAAATAGATGGAATGTTATTATAAAGACTGACTAATCCACTTGCACATAAAGTTTGTATGTATGGTAATGCTGACGTTTATGGCTCTCAGTTAATGATAATTAGGGGTCTAAAAAAATAGAATATCGCATAAGACCAAACAAAAAAAGGATTCTGAAAAGTATGCTCATTCCTATGGCATTGTTTAATTGTAGACAAATACCTGTATTTAGGTATTTTTAACTATAGTTTCTCTTGTTATAATAATGATATTTATAATCCTCCAAATTATTCAAAATGTAAAATAACTACAAATGACATGATTTGATTTTAAAATCTTTCACTGTTCACATTAAGTGGAGCCACCTGCATGTGAAAGCCAGATCCTGTCAGACCTCTGAAGCTAAGCAACGAGGGCCTGGTTAGTACTGTGATGGGAGACCTCTAACACCAGGTGCCCCAATGAGTGCCAATGGTTGGTATGGAGCTATTATTGTTTCAATAATATTTGTGTGTGCGTAAAAAGATTTGTGCGTGCGTAACCAGATTTGTGCGTGCGTAACCAGATTTGTGTGTGCGTAACCAGATTTGTGCGTGCGTAACCAGATTTGTGTGTGTGTAAAAGAAATATTTGTGCGTGTGTAAATAGATTTGTATGTACGTATCAAGATTTGTGTGTGCGTAAAAAGATTTGTGTGTGCGTAGAAAGATTTGTGTGTGTGTAAAGAAAAAAAAAAGTACGTTTTACACACAAGTTTTTTTTTTACACACGAATCTTTTGACGCAGTCCTGCCTTCGCAGATTCGCAAGTGTAACTTGGACTGTGTGCGTGCGTAAACAGATTTGTGTGTGTGTAATTTGACATTTGTATCTGTAACAGAACAATCTGTGTGTAAATAACCGCGTTGTACAAAGAGAAGAACGGGAAAAAGCCTAAGTGCTACGCACAGGCTCTGTTTTACACACGAATCTCTTTTTGACACACCTCTGCCGCCAAGCGTGTGTCAAAAAGATTTGTAAGTGTAATGTGGTTGTTCTAGCAGTACACCAGCAGATGGTGCTGTTGTAGCTGGTTATTACCTACACGCAAGCAAACCAACAAGTGTAGATAGAGAAAACCGAAGGATTTAAGAAGAAGAAAAGTTCAGGATGACAAGGAACACTAAAATTCCCACAAAATCCGACCTTTATGAAAGCTGTAGGTTATCTGTCAGCTGTTTTAGTTTACTTTGAGTTCTATGGGGAAAATTTCTGTGTAGCCAACGTGAATTTAGTCTGCAGTACGTGAGAATCCTTCAGCTCCAAGCTAGTAACACCCTATCCAGTTTATTATAATAGATCCATGTATCATACAGTGGTGTGAATGACAGGATTTTGAAAATAGGAAAAAAATATCATAAACAGCTGCGGTAGTGTGTCTTGTCAAGGCAGTAGGTTTTGGTTTGCTTGCGTGTAGGTAATAACCAGCTACAACAGCACCATCTGCTGGTGTACTGCTAGAACAACCACATTACACTTACAAATCTTTTTGACACACGCTTGGCGGCAGAGGTGTGTCAAAAAGAGATTCGTGTGTAAAACAGAGCCTGTGCGTAGCACTTAGGCTTTTTTCGTTCTTCTCTTTGTACAACGCGGTTATTTACACACAAATTGTTCTGCTACAGATACAAATGTCAAATTACACACACACAAATCTGTTTACGCACGCACACAGTCCAAGTTACACTTGCGAATCTGCGAAGGCAGGACTGCGTCAAAAGATTCGTGTGTAAAAAAAAAACTTGTGTGTAAAACGTACTTTTTTTTTTCTTTACACACACACAAATCTTTCTACGCACACACAAATCTTTTTACGCACACACAAATCTTGATACGTACATACAAATCTATTTACACACGCACAAATATTTCTTTTACACACACACAAATCTGGTTACGCACGCACAAATCTGGTTACGCACACACAAATCTGGGTACGCACACACAAATCTGGTTACGCACGCACAAATCTTTTTACGCACACACAAATATTATTGAAACAATAATAGCTCCATAGTTGGAGGTGGTCAGAGGAGGTGAAGGCATAGACTGGTTGCCTCGCTTCTGTCAGTCTGCTCCAGGGAAGCTGTGGCTACAGTAGTTTATCGCCAGTGTTGATCGACTGAATGAATAATGTCATGTTATATATCTTATATAAAACCTATGCATTTAAAAACGTGTTCATGTTCCCCTGGTTGGGAAACACTCTTGTCAGATGACATTCAAATTTTGATTTTTAATTTGTGTTCAAGCACGGTCCCTTTTCTCACAGCATCATTAATTACAAGTGACAGCGGTGGTCCTCTGCTGACCCAGACCCCCCACACTCTGAAGAGATTTCATTATCAGCAAGTTACAAAATAAAGGAACTGTGCCCAAACTAAAATTATCTCTTCATGACCTACAGAAAACTTCAAACTCAAGCCAAATGTCTTTGTATCATCTCGTGTAAACCACTCCCTCATCAAATTATGGAACAATATTGTAATCAAGATGTCCACAACAATAGAATGTATACATGGTGAAATATAGTAAGACATAAAAAACACTCCACAGTGAACAGGGTTCTCTTTCACACAAGTTTGGAGCATTTGATATAAAAGTGTTTGCTGCCGCTTGTCCAGGCTGAGCACCATGGTGTTGACATAGCGTTCTATAATGAAGCAAATAGACAAATTTGAGATATTATCATAAAACACATTGTATATAACCAATACTACGTAAAGACATCTTAGTAAAGAACAAAACCTGTGACACACTCTATGTCTCTAACAAATAGAAAGCTGTCAAAGCCATGTGTTTGTCTCTAGGCAAAGAGAGCTGTTTTGAGCGTATAGTGTCCCGCTTTGGCACTAACATTACATATGTTGTGATTGGCGATGGGAAGGACGAAGAGCATGCGGCGAGCCAGGTAAACAAACACTCTTAACCCCTCTGACCTGTCCCCCTCCTGTGTATTTTTGTTGCAGGGAAAGAGAGTTGCTTTGAGCGCATAATGCAAAGGTTTGGCAGGAAAGTAGTGTATGTTGTAATTGGGGACGGTGTGGAAGAGGAGCAGGCGGCCAAAAAGGTAACCTCATCGTGACCCGCCGAGAGCAGCGTGAGCTCCGGAGAGACCTGGCCTGCCTTGGTGTGCTCTCGTAGATGTTTTGTTCGTTTGATTCTTTCTGTTCTGCCGAGATTTTTACTTGCAAAGTTATTCAAAGTTACGTTCCAACTCGGGGCGGCTCAGGAGTTTTTGCCTTCTTCTTCAAATGCTTGTTTTCGCCACAGCCATAATTATTGTCATGGCCGACAATAATATCAATGGCTGTCCAGGATTCTGCTTTGTTTGGTCAAAGCAGGTTGCTTGATGTTTGGGTTTGGTTGTCCCACATTACAAAGGGGTTTGCTGGGGCAGTATCTATGATGAAAACAGAATGCCTTGGTCATGGATTACAAACATTTAAGACAAATTCACAATCATTTATAGAAGTAACCTTTTGTTTTCATCTCATATTTGCACCAACACCCAATGCTTTCTTGTTGCTTAAAATTATTATCAATATGGCAAACCAGTGCATTCTGTTTCAGTTTATATTTCTCCTTCATTCTGTGATGTTACATATTTGATATCTGAATACAGAATTTTCTGGACTATATACCGCTTCTTTGAAAATCTGTGAACTCTGCAGCCTAAATAGTGATGTGGTCTATGTATGTATTTGTATTTTGTAAGAGCGCCTTCTCGGGTGCAGGAATGGATCTGGATACAGATGTGGATCTCCAGAGCTCACATTCCTGCTTCTCAGTGTGTTTATGTGCACAGCAGAGAAATGCAAGAAAAATAAAAATAGACAGGACAAAGTTTATGGAAAAATAGACTGAATTTGCCAAAGGGCTTTGATCATCTGGAGTCTATAGTGAATTAAAAAATCTAGTCTTTAATCTGTTGTGATCAGTTAAAAGAGTTGTATATCAGCTGTTAAGATTTACTTTACAACTTAAAAACCTTTTCTAATGTAGCTGGTGCGGTTTTCACACAGGTGCGCTTGATAGTCCAGAAAGTACTGTATGTGTACGCCATCTCTTTGGGTTCATTCCTTCCTGGTGCTGGGAATATCAAGCCGAATAAAGAAATGCATGGATTAGGTGTGCAGTGCTTTAGAAAAACAAGCTACGTTAGTGTAGCTTGCATGAGCTGAGGTGGTGGTGTGAAAAGGATTTCCCCAGAGCACTTTCCACATGTAAAAGTTACTAATGTGTCACTCTTTTCTGCAGCACAACATGCCTTTCTGGAGGATATCCAGTCACTCTGACCTGCTGGCATTACACCAAGCACTGGAATTCGAGTACCTGTAACTAATACTGCAATATGGACTTAAACTATGGACATGGTCAGCCAGGCAGCCCCTTCTTTTGTATAACTATTTAAGAACAAATACACTGCAAATGTTTTTGTGATCTTTTTCTTTTTTTTTTTTGAACGTCTGGATTTACAAACTGAATGGTCTTAAGATGTATATGGGAATATAAACAGGAGCAGCTCGTGGTAGTGAGAAGGAACTACGGCAAGCGAAGGTGGACAAACCCCAACATGTTGCTTTGTGAGCCTTTTCCAAGATGTGGACAGTCTGATATCGCATCTGGATGTGCACAGGAACTGCAGCTGCGTTTACGTTGAAGTGTTTCTCTGGTCCTATGATAATCACATAAAATGCAATATGGGGAAACTTGTGTAAATTATTTACAATAAACTTAAGGGCAGCATTGGGTGTTTTTCATTATGAAGTGTCATTGGAGTCTTTAATTTTATGATTTTTGTATTTTTTCCCCCTCCTTTTGAAAGTTGAGAATGTGAGTCATGATGTGTTGTGCCTTAATTATTTGGATGTCTTTTATTCAGAACTGTATGTAGGATATAAAGGTTAAACTGTTTCAAATGTCTACATTCTCTTTACCATCTGAAGGCAGCAGGATAGCACATCCCACAACTGCCCAGGAATGTCAGGGCATTTCACGTAACGCACATCTTAAAAACATACGTTTTCTACATATACTTTTGATCCCCCATAGGAGAAATAAAGGTCTCCAGAAGCAGCAAAAAAGATTCTAAAAAGCCAACAATAGTAATAAGCAAAAGCACTTCAGGTCACTGCAGCAGAGGTGATGTAGCCTCTGTGAGGAGCAGGTCAGGGCAGAGCAGCACAGATGGAGTAGCCTCTGGGTGGAGCAGGACAGGTCACTGTAGCAGAGGTGATGTAGCCTCTGGGTGGAGCAGGACAGGTCACTGTAGCAGAGGTGATGTAGCCTCTGGGTGGAGCAGGACAGGTCACTGTAGCAGAGGTGATGTAGCCTCTGGGTGGAGCAGGACAGGTCACTGTAGCAGAGGATGTAGCCTCTGGGTGGAGCAGGACTGGTCACTGTAGCAGAGGATGTAGCCTCTGGGTGGAGCAGGACGGGTCACTGTAGCAGAGGTGATGTAGCCTCTGGGTGGAGCAGGACGGGTCACTGTAGCAGAGGTGATGTAGCCTCTGGGTGGAGCAGGACGGGTCACTGTAGCAGAGGTGATGTAGCCTCTGGGTGGAGCAGGACGGGTCACTGTAGCAGAGGTGATGTAGCCTCTGGGTGGAGCAGGACGGGTCACTGTAGCAGAGGTGATGTAGCCTCTGGGTGGAGCAGGACGGGTCACTGTAGCAGAGGTGATGTAGCCTCTAGGTGGAGCAGGACGGGTCACTGTAGCAGAGGATGTAGCCTCTGGGTGGAGCAGGACGGGTCACTGTAGCAGAGGATGTAGCCTCTGGGTGGAGCAGGACGGGTCACTGTAGCAGAGGATGTAGCCTCTGGGTGGAGCAGGACGGGTCACTGTAGCAGAGGATGTAGCCTCTGGGTGGAGCAGGACAGGTCACTGTAGCAGAGGTGATGTAGCCTCTGGGTGGAGCAGGACAGGTCACTGTAGCAGAGGTGATGTAGCCTCTGGGTGGAGCAGGACAGGTCACTGTAGCAGAGGATGTAGCCTCTGGGTGGAGCAGGACGGGTCACTGTAGCAGAGGATGTAGCCTCTGGGTGGAGCAGGACGGGTCACTGTAGCAGAGGTGATGTAGCCTCTGGGTGGAGCAGGACGGGTCACTGTAGCAGAGGTGATGTAGCCTCTAGGTGGAGCAGGACGGGTCACTGTAGCAGAGGTGATGTAGCCTCTGGGTGGAGCAGGACGGGTCACTGTAGCAGAGGTGATGTAGCCTCTGGGTGGAGCAGGACAGGTCACTGTAGCAGAGGATGTAGCCTCTGGGTGGAGCAGGACAGGTCACTGTAGCAGAGGATGTAGCCTCTGGGTGGAGCAGGACGGGTCACTGTAGCAGAGGATGTAGCCTCTGGGGGGGAGCAGGACGGGTCACTGTAGCAGAGGATGTAGCCTCTGGGTGGAGCAGGACGGGTCACTGTAGCAGAGGATGTAGCCTCTGGGTGGAGCAGGACGGGTCACTGTAGCAGAGGTGATGTAGCCTCTGGGTGGAGCAGGACGGGTCACTGTAGCAGAGGATGTAGCCTCTGGGTGGAGCAGGACGGGTCACTGTAGCAGAGGATGTAGCCTCTGGGTGGAGCAGGACGGGTCACTGTAGCAGAGGATGTAGCCTCTGGGTGGAGCAGGACGGGTCACTGTAGCAGAGGATGTAGCCTCTGGGTGGAGCAGGACGGGTCACTGTAGCAGAGGATGTAGCCTCTGGGTGGAGCAGGACAGGTCACTGTAGCAGAGGTGATGTAGCCTCTGGGTGGAGCAGGACAGGTCACTGTAGCAGAGGATCTGATCCAAGCAATCCTATTTCTAAACCACTGGCAACTTTCTGTAGTCAAAGCTAACCAAAGGTACTCAATGAAGCAAGGCTGCACTACCAGTTGATTCAAATGTTTATGTACTTTTTGAACAGACTGTACAATAAAATGAGTTATTGAACCAGGTTATAGCAAACACCTGTCCCTGGGCAGACCGTTATATTTAAACAGATTCTAATGTAGATACAAACATGGCTGTTTCTTACATTTAGACATGTAATCTTACATGCCTTGTGGGTAACAGCTTGTCATAGAACAGACATGTGTCAGATTCTTTGTCCACAGCAAGGATCCAGACCGTTTTTCATGCAAGAGCACCTTGTCCAGAAAACCACCCAATTTGATTTACATTACTTTGGTGGATTATTCATATCTGCCACTCGCAGTAGAGCCAAATATGAGACTCAAACTAGGCCTCCACTGAGCGGTCCCAACGGGCACCAGTTAATTTAGGATCAAGGAAAGTAAACTAATTCACCAATTAGACTGAGTTTAGCTGGTTTTTGGAGTACTCAAGGGTTAATCCCAGTCAATTAACCAGCCAGTGATTAAAGTAGAATACCCTAATTTATTGTCTAAATTACCAAACAAACATTTAAGGTGGCCCAAGGGTTAAAATCTAAGGAGCAACACCTCATGTGTGGCTGAACTAAAATATAAATAAAAGTACCCAAAAAGCTTTAAAGGACAACTCACCCTCAAATCCACTTTTTTTTGCTGATAAACTTTATAAATGAGTGTCCAATAGTGTTGTCTACATATCCTGGTCATAATCTTGTCACTTTGGTGCAAATTAGTTGAAAGTTAGACTTTCTGCCTAAAACCGTCTGTGAGGCGCCATCTGCTGGCGACCTGTATTACTACAATTGAATTTTGAATCTGGCGCCAACACTGGCGCGGCAGCAAGACCTGACGTCAGCAGCCCCCCGCCCAGAGCAATATAAACGGCCCAGTCTCGTTCACGCCCCCTTCAGTCCTCCAGGCTACGCCCATTTAGAGGAAGATTTGAACAGGAAATGTGAGTAACGTAAGCTCCGAGGAGCGGGGGTGAGAACCACTTTAACAAAATTTGAGGACAGATAAGGAATAGGTTTTTACAACACTTTATTGAGAAGTTTACTTCTTGGATTTGAAGTATTCCTCGATGACATCCTTTGCTTGAGACTCTTTGCCATAGTCCTGTGGAGAAAACAAACAGTCAGGCGGTGCATTTCACTTCAAGCGTTATTCATCAACACGAGTGCTAGAGGTAAACTGTTGCCATTCTTAGGGACCCTAGACATCACAGACAAATGACAGGGCTCGTACCCTGGCAGTGATCTAGCCAGTTATAACATCAGATGCTTCACACGGAGCAAAACAGCTGCACTTGACTGGCCTTTGATCAAATTATAATTTAACTGCAATATCTGCCCATCAATCCTTACCTTCACGACCACACAGCTGCAGCCCACCACTTTGCGGGGTTTGCCTTCACGGTCAATCTTGCAGAGACCCACCCACTCACCAAGCTTCTTGTTATCATCGACCTGAAGAAAATAAAGGTAATAGAACCTATTATAAATATGTAATTAAACGTACAAGGAAATACAATATCAATAATTCACAGGCTGCATCAGACTATCTCAGGTCAATCCACAGTGACAAAATGGCTCATGGAAATTTAAAGTATTTTACATACTTTTTAAGGCAGCTGGTCCGCAGTAACAAAATGCTGCGGACCACCATGTATTCATCAATACATGGTGCAAACCAAATGTATATCGCTTCTGCCTCTCTCCCAGAGTAGTTTCTAGTTTTCTGATACTAGCCTAATTCAATCTTTATAGTTAGCACAAGATTCAAAACTAAAGTACATTTCTTATTCAACTAGTTACTTGTCTTAAATTAGCTTTTGATATCGTATATGCTACATAATTTTGGCGAGCTAGCCAGGAGAGGTTGGGAGAATCGTGTCAAATAAACTATTGTAGACAGTACAACAAAAATAGAATATGGATGTTTTGAGGAACTTGGCATAACTGTGGCACATGTCTGCCACCTTCCTCAGAACTAGATAAGATGCACATTCCAAATCCCTCATGAATGAATGAAGCCACCAAACAAAATAGAAAAGTTTTTGGTACGACAGCAGAACTCCTCTGCAGAACGCTTTACACGCACAGCACATCTTCATAAGCAAGAGAGTAGTCAAGACCAAAAACTATTCTGTGATTTGTAGGGTGGTTTAAGTTCAACTCCGTATGCAGTGAATTTTTACAGGATGAAAACAGTTGCAAGATTGAGACTAAAATGAGTAGAAAATAATCCTGATGCAGCACAATATATTTTGACACACCACAGGGTCAGATTTACCAAAAACAATAAATACTGTCCATACCCTGGAACAAATTTATCCAAGCATGAGACTGGTACAATAAGCAAAAGCAACCAGAACTGCTAAAGTTATTGCAAATGAGAAGTTTGTACCTTGATGAGGTTGATTTGATGCTCAGCGCAGAGGGCCTCCACCAGCTTCACGTACATGGGCTCGTCGCAGTTTGCAGCAAGGACACACAGATGAGCCTGGCGTCTAAAACACAATGCACTTAGTCGATCTGCATAGTCAACTTTTAACATTCACATCACTGAATAAAACTCAGACAGAAATTGGGTAACAGTGGCGATTTTCCTCACTGAACTCAGTAGAGGGAGCCAAATTGTCATCACAGAAACTGTTCAGAGATAACAAAATAAATAAATGAAAAGGACAGTTCCATACTTGTCCAGAGCCTTCGCAGCCTCCCGGATCCCGCGAGCCAGACCATCGTGGATGAGTGCGGTCTTGAGCACTTCAGGCAGAGCAGTGTTGACATCCATCACACCTCCAGCAGCAACGCTATGATAAAAAGTACAACAGTGTTAGACAAAACTGACTTGTGTTTTTCCAATATTCACAATAGTGTTGTTTCCAGCGTGTCAGAAAAGGATTCTCACTCAAGAACGAGTGAAGGGGTATCCGACAAAAGAACTCAAAATCATCACTGACGCCAGAAAGCCTCACTTGTGACTTTTGAATACTAATGTGAATGTTTGACGATCTTGTCCAAAACTACCATCAACAGATAGTTAACAGAATAGTAACACATGCAAGTTGGGCTGGGCATAATTTTAACGTTTCCCTTAAATGAACTAGTTTCATAGAAGCGTTCTAACATGTTAAGGTGCACATAAGAGTAGCAAGAGTCTCACATACCCTTCCTCGGCCATTGTAGATTAAGGATGGATGGTGGACTTAAAGTTCTGCAATATACAAGAAATAACAGTGAGGGGTTCATATTGTCTGGAAACGTGACATTTAGATACATTTTCAACGCGTGATGGTTGAGTATTTACACAGATTGAATTGGTAAAACTGAAAACGCACCCGTTCCTCCACTCGATAAGCGGGTAAAGAGGACGTCATAGGCCCGCGACACAGTTTTATTTCCGAGAAAGGACGCATGCACTAATGATAGGCGTCCATGTATTTGCCTGAGAGAAAGTGGCTTCAAGAACAAAACGCAACACTAGACTATACAATAATGACACTGTAATAATTTATTAGTTAAATATGTTATGATTGATTTTCGTCATCAAAACACAAGGGGTTACATACAGACCCCCATGGTATACCCCCATGGTATTAAAATAAGCAACATAATGTACTGTTTGGGAGTGAATATACATTATTTTATGCTTCTTGATAACTTATGATGTGTAGGCCTATAGACATGTGAGACTTTATGGGGATGAATATGTTACAGAATACACAATATTACAGTCTTTGCAGCAGAGTTGCTTGGTTATCTTATTTGACACATAACTTGAAAACATTCATAACAGTTAAGTATAATAAACAATTGATTGTGTAGCCGGTCAAGATGTGGTGCATGAAAGAAGTCAGACACTTTATATATAGTGCGGTGGCCCCTTTAATAAGTTGTTTTCATGTGACATCACAACATTCCAACACTCTAAAATTGTGGCAAAGGGCAGGTGTGAAATCTATGGGAAGGGTAAAAATGTATAGTTTTTATCTAATTTCTCTGTAATTCCAATCCACATGAAACAAAAACGGCAACAAAGTTTCACATCTTCTTCGTCAGTGCATGTCCACTTAAGTCTAATCATTTTCACATAAAGGGGTTTCTATAAGGTGACAACTTAAACAAAGTAGAAAGACATGAGAACAATATGGCGGGTCGATCAAATAATTTCTTTTTCAACATTTCTATCAACAAAATATTTTTCCTACAATGTATTGGCACCTGCCCTCGAATTGAAATAGAAATGTAAAGTATCATACACCAAAAATTATACAGACTTTTTAGTGACAAATTACTTTTAACTAAAACACAATCTCTCACAAGTAGCAGCACCACGTTTTAACAAATTAATTGTGTTGTTAATTATGTTGATGGAATTTGTCCAGAAAAGTCTTGGTGAACGGCGTTGTCCAGAGGTTGTGCAGAAGTTTTGTGAGCTCTTAGAGTTTTAGAAATTCTTCCAGAGCTTCAGCTTCAATTGCACTCTCAAATGCTGTGAAGTTCTACAAAAGGGAAATTAAATTGAATTAACAAAAAAGGAACTCCTCTTCCCATGGGTAGTAGGGTACAAATGACCACAATAGAATTATAAATACATAGAATATATGAAATAAGGTTATTAATATCAAACCAACAAGCTTTATTGTGCATTGAGAAAATGCGCAGGAGAGATGACGTCATTGACACCATTTATTTTATGGCACTTTTACCCAATTATATACCCACAAACCATGATATGTGCAGACATGAACATTGGGTTACTTCCAACACCGACATCCAGATATTTTTGGTACTCAATTAAAAGCATAGATACATGGGGCAACAACTCTAAGTCAAATCTAATGTTTGAAAAAATAAATAATAATACATTAAGAATAATAAGGAATTGTGTTGTGAATTGAATCGATCATCATTACTACTATTTGTTTGGGGGTTTTTTAATTAGAGCCAAACAAGGTATAAAAATACTAACAGTTCTGAAACAGTCTTATGGACAGAAGAGACAAAGATCAACCACTACCAGAGCGATGGGAAGAGCATATGATCCAAAACAAACTCAGGGGATAGTGGTGGTATACAGCCATGGCGTGGAAACCATTTGCATAGGAGGTTATGTGTTCACCAGAGTTTGTTTGTAGGTCTTTGTGTTAGCAACATGAATCAAACGTTTTTTTTGTGTTAACTTCTCACGTTAAATTTCCACCCCAAAGAAAAGTACTTTTTCCATTTCAATCCTGATGAGAAAAATAGTGGGATAGAATGTACAAATATCTGTTGTAAAAAAAAAAGAAGTGAAAATAAACTAATTGTTTAATTGAAGTCCACCCCATGTGCTGGGTGGATCATGCATGGACAGTATTACAGTGACACTAGACATTTTGTAATACCCCTTGTGTGTCTCAAAACCAAGTTTGCGAAATGCAATTGTAACATACATAAACCTTGATGAATACTTACCCCACAGTAGGAATCACCTTTGCAAATTTGAGGTGGGAGAGCAGTGGGATCTCCAGCAATACGTCTCATTAAATCTTTATTTTCAGATTCCTGAGAAATATCCACGGCCTCGAAATCTATTTTCTTAGACTGAAGAACATCAAAGATCCGTTGCTGTTGTTTCTTCATCTGGAAAAAAACACTCAGTAATCAGTCAGTATTTTTTTTAAGTTTACAATAATTTTGGCAAAAGTCACTGTAAAAATGAAAAATGACACCTCACCTCCGTATTTCCACTGACGCTGGAATAAAACACAGAAAGTGCCATTTTCTCTATTAGACTGCAGACTTCTACAGAAGGCTGTGTGAAGCAGTGTGAAGGAGGAATGTGAGGGTGGCTGCACCAGGTGAGCAGGTTTGGACAGAGGACGCCACTCCCCCACGTCCAGTCAGAGCTTGTCTCTCTTCTCACGCGCAATCACTCAAATCACAGACGCACAATCACTGGGAGCTTAATCACTGTGTTTTCAAAGATTTATTAATTAACAAAAACACTTTAAATCCATGTGTGTCTCAGTGCGAGGAGTGACTCTCTGGAACGATTTAGCAGATGAAATAAAAACATCTTCAAACCTGTTACAATTTTTCTAAATAATTGTTTAAAAACAAAGTGTTGAAGTACGTGGAGGAAAGAGAGTGAGGCCCTCACACAGGGCAGGTGAAGGCAGAGAGGGGTAGGGTCAGAGAGTGTTTGGGCCGGTGTGTGTTTGGGTGTTTTGTGTCCAATACCCCATGGTAGGGTATTGTATATTACTGTCCTGCACAGTATCAAATTTGTATTGATATCGTATGTTGATTAATTGTATTTTTTCCTGTGTATCATTGTGTTGAATGGTGAGAGGAGGTTGGGAACAAATAATCATCTGCTTCATCCGACCACTTTTCAAACCTGTATTAGTCAGATTCAGATTCAGATTCATTTATTGGCCATGTGCAGTATAAAAACTACATTGGAATACATTTGCAAAAAGAGGTACTCTGTGTGCACCGACAGAATAAAAAGCACGATACAATAGTGTAAAGATATGTGAAATTGGTTTCTGCAGGTTTGCACAACCAATTATCAATTAAGCAGAAGTAAAAATGAAACATTGACACATTTTGTTTGTATAGCCAGCGGGAAGAATTGTTGAACCAAATGTTTATGTATTGCATTTCAAAAAATGTAAATAAAAAATAATAACCAAAACACTGGTGTAAGAGTAGACTGCATACATAACATTACAGTACAAATATCCGCAAAACAATTTGACATTGCGTTCCTTGGGTCCAATTTAGCAGTAGAGACATTTTCTAAACTAACACTTAATTTACAAACTTCCTTTTGTTGCAGAAAGTGTTAAGTGACTTTGACTCAACACTCGACAAGTGGTTCTAGCTCGTAACAGACTCGACCTGCCAGATCTTCAGGGACCCTCTCCACGCTGTTTTCAGAATCCTCTTTCTTTTCCTCTGAAGCACGAGTAAAGTCACGACGAGTCTGGGCACCTCTGTTGAAACAATAAACATGCCATTAGATGATTTGCAAAACAGTAATTACATATTTTCAACAGCAGTAGAAAATGACCTGTTTTCTAAAGGTTTAAATCTTCTTTCGTCCATATCTTGTTGAATTGTTCCATCCATTCGGTTACTAAAGGTCACAGTGGAACCTAAGCACAAACCGGTACAAAACACAATGTTGCCACACAGATAAGAACAATATTTTACACACAGTAAGTTGCATAATAATGTTATCCAACAACATTCTGTAGCTGTCACAACTATTTACTGTGACAGGGTAAAAAAAAAAAAAAAGACCTGGTTTTCAACATTAAACATGATAACTGTGTACAGTAACACTTATTATTAATATAAGAATAGTAATTTAAAAGAAAAAAAAAGTTCACGAATTGTCGGGGAATATGGAATAGATGGAGTACAAGCAGTGGCAGGGACAGAGACAACAGGGGGGGCACCATCTCCTCTGTTGTCGTCCCCTGAAGTCCCTGAAGATGGAGCCTATATCCCAGCCATGTGGTATCAAAGAGAGGCTGAAACCCCTCCCGACCATTTCTCCCGTCAAGCAACCTAGGTACAGTTATTATTTTTATTTATGTATTTTAATGTATTTTAACTTTATTATTTTGGTAAGTAAGTAAGTAAGTAATCTTTATTTATAAAGATTGTGCACAGTGCACAAAAGGCGCACAGGGAGAAGGGAAAAGGAAATAAATGAATAAGAGAAACAACGTTGTGTACATGATGAGTATGTGATGTATGTGATCAACACAATAAAAAAAATACATATAAAAAAATTATTACTGAGAACAAATAGTTTTTTCAAAGTAAAAAAAAACCCAAAAGTATTTCCTAACATTCAGCTGAATCAGAGATGTTTAGACATGTTTATAATCATTGAGACATAGTCAGTGCCTTTCTCCCCATCTCCCCCTAAAGGGATTTTCAATTAATAATCAACTTGCAGCATTAATGGTTATGTGCTACCAAGGCATATTATTTTAACCCAACATCATTTGAAGAGAAATAGTTAAATATGGAACAATGTGTGTAACGTTATCCATTTTTGGTTGAATCTAAAAACAAGAATCACATTTTGTTTTAAAAATAATCAAAAATTGACCAGCTCCTATCGTTTTTATTCGGCCCCTGACAAAAACCACCGGGCTAAAGCACTAAGTCGGTCTCAGGTAAACAGAAATGTCTGGTCATCTACCGTTACTGCACCTACCTGCACCCCATCTTCTCCTCCTCCAGAGCAAGTAACCAATAACCAGTACAATCACCAACACCACTATGCCGACAACAACACCAGTCACAGTGGAGGACGAGGACCCAGCTGACCAAAAAAAAAACAAAACACAATTTAAAATACAAAGAAAGAAATCGATTAAATTAAATTCTTACGCGGATACTCACCAACCACAGTGACTTGAATAGTTTTGGATGCATCCGAATAGAAGCATTGCGACGAGATATTCATGGCATAGATGCAGCTATACAGTCCTTGATGTTCGTAGTCTATTGACGGAAACTCAAAGTTGGCCAAGTAAAATATAGAGTGGCCGGTCGCCGTTTTTGGTTCACTTCTGTTGGTGTCAGACTTGGTGAGGTAGAAGAAGCCACCCGCGTATGTAGAATGCACAGAGCAAGTGATGAAAAAGCTATCCCCTCTTTTGACGGTTAGCTTGTCAGGGCTGTAGATCAACATGGCATGCGGTGATGTCAAGGTGATGCTGGGTTTTTCCAAGTTCACTGTATGAAAAAATATGTGTACAGTATCTAGCAATTACATGTTAAATATTACATCAATAGTAAGTCGTTTACCTTTCACAGTCAAATCAACAATATTGGATTGAGGGAAACTGATGACTTGACTGAGCACTTTTTTCTTGAATTCACAAAAGTACGAGCCCTTTTGAGTGAAGTTTACTTTGGGGAAAACAAAAGTTGCTGCTTCACTTTCGGAAAACTTTTCACTTTTCAGTGTTCCTTGACTGTTGCTCAGCACAAATGTCCCGCCCAGTTGTTCAGTGACTATTGTGCAGGTGATCTCCACTCGTTCACCCCAGCTCACCTCCGGACCAGGACTCACGCTCAACTGGGGCTTATTAAGGTCTCCTACAGGAAGAAAACACAGCAACAACAGCTCAAATTTAAGTTGATCCCACAAAAATAGAAAAACATTGAGGACATGGAGCTTCTCGTTACCATAAGGGCTCAAAGTGTTTTCTTATTGTATAAATATTGAGATACGAACATTATTATTATTAGGCCGAGCCAATACGTAGTATTGGGGAGGCCTATTGTTATTCGTTGGTTTCATATTATTATTCTTTTTCCGCCGAAACAATTCGATTTTTGACCCTGAAAACATGCACGAAAGTCTGCACATGGGGGGTCTAAAACGACCGGTTCGGCGAAACATTTGATAAAACGGACGTTTCGAGATTGTCCGACAAAAGGCGAATCAATAGCGCCCCCTTGAAAATTCAAAATTTGCCATTTCTATTGGAGGCAGGATTGCATATTTTGGAGTAGGTACACGAAATTCGGATGAGTGAAAGATCTCTATGAGACGAGCATAAAAGCCGGTCTAAGCACATGTCTGGGACCAACAGGAAGTCGGCCATGATGGGCCGAAGTTTCGCCACTAATTTGACTTTTCATTTAGAAATTCGAACTAGTCCCTGGTTTTTCATCACACAGAGTTCTACCACGTCATTTCCTAATCTGGACGAATTTAAGTTATATAATCATCCAAAAAAAGTTAGAAAATCTTCACAATTTTTGTCCCTCGCCATGGCGAATAAGGCCTTCGTTTTGGCCATTTTTGCTGAGCCCTGAGGGCCACAGGCTCAGACCTACAGAGCTGAGACTCACATCAGTAATATTAGGTTATGGCCTGAACGCAATGACACTAAAATCATTCGCCCAATTCGAGCTCTTTAGCGCCACCTGTCGGAAAGTAATAGGGCACTAGTGCTTTATCATATAAATGAGCTTATATATACGTAATCCTGGTCAGATCAGGCTGCCAATTCGTCGGCGTGACACATAAGTCAGAAAATATCCTGGATTCAGGAGCTCAATGTATTGCTGTACTCACATTATCAGTTGTGATTCACTGCAGCCCAGAAATAAAGCTATTATCAATTAATGTATTTACTACAAGTTTGAGTTTTGGGCCATATGAGTGTGATATCGATGGTGTGTGAAAGGTGCTAAATTAATAAAGATGACCTACTTACTACTTACTAACACATGAGGTTTGGATGCTGAAGATGACAAAAGAAGAGTGGGGCCTTGGAGTCTTACCTAAACATATGACACTGGCGTCTTCACTGTGGCCACAGTTGTTGACTCCATAATTGGGACGAGGACACTGCGACAGGGCCAGCTCATCTCCAGTGCACTCCACATTGTCCAGCCATATGGGACCCTCCCCTCTCCCGAAGTGGGCACCTATGGGAGCGGCCAGTTCCTGACCGCAGCCTATCTGTCTGCACACCACTTTAGCGTTATCCAGTGACCAGTCATCATCACACACGGTTCCCCACTGTCCTTTGTGATAGATCTCCACTCGACCAGAGCAGGAGTTGGTGCCGCCCACCACTCGAATCGAATCTGCAAGAGGTTTTATTTACAGAAGTTTATAGAAGTTTATTCATAGAAGTGCAAAGTTGTGGAACACATTGCTCTCTGAATTTAAAACTATGACTGTGTTTAAAATGTTTACTTCTCGAGTTAATTAAAATGTTTACTTCTCGAGTTAAGTCCTGGCTGAAATCGAAACAGAATTGTACCCATTTATACATTTGTAAATAGCACTGAGTTTGTGTGTGTAAATGACTTAAACAGTGTATATAGCTAAGTTATTAAGATAATATTGAAAATGTTAATGTAGTGTAGAAAGGCCCAACCAAGGACTGGAGTTGAAAATTAGTAAATAAACTCTTTTTGCATCGCATTAGTTACAAGCTTGTTTTGTTCTATGTTGACTTGCAATGTCCCTGTCAAATAAATAAATAAATGAATAAATAAAAATAAATACAAACATTTCCGTTTTACTTCCTGTTCTGTTCCTCTGTTGATGGTCTGCCCCGCCCTAATGAGTTTCACCCTGGTCTCCTCACTCCTTGTCTGATTTGTTCCGTCCTATTTCTGGTTCCCTGGATTTTGGAGTTTCGTTTTCCCTGGACTTTTATGTTATTATCATTTAACCATAATTTTTGGCATTCCTGCATTTTGTGTCCTCATTCATCTTACCTTGTGACGGATAAGTCACAAAATCAAATTACTTAATCAAAATAATATTATGCACATACCAAGAAATTTGTATTTAAGCCATTTACCAAGCAACAAAACAAGCGCAGCAAGCATGCTCCTGCCACAAACAAGTTGTAAGAAATGTTTTTGGAAGGCCATGGGGCTGTATAGAAGGTGTGCTAAACTTAGGAGTTCACATAGAAATTCTACTTCTGTGTGGAGTTTGCATGTTGTCCCCGGGTCTGCGTAGGTTTCCTCCGGGTGCTCCGGTTTCCCCTACCACTAAAAACATGTACAATAGGTTTGAATGTGATGCTGTTGGTTGGGGGCTTTGATGCGCTCCCCTCATTACGGTCATTAAGATCTGAACTCTGAACATTGTAAAGCGCCTCAGGTGACCTTGGTCTGTGAAATGTGCTATATAAATAAACAATACTTAAAAAAGGTTCAGTCAATTTCCACAATCACTGACATTATATTCTTAAAGTAGCAATATGTAAAATTGTCATGCCAAGTCATCATTAAATGGCCCTAAGGTCAAAGGTTTTAATAAACCATGCTTTTTCAAATACTTCTTTAACTGATAACACTAGCTCAACCAAGATATGTGGATTTCAAAATTAGTTTTGCAGCCCATAGAGCTTGTTATTGTTTTCATTTTGATGTCACGCCCTCCACCGTTTCACCAATCAGAAAGACCGTGATGCGGGTTGCCAGAACTCACCGTGTTGAGCTAATCTCACTGGTAAAGTAGCATGTGGCCAGAGAACTAAAAAATGTTTTAGGATTTCCATTGGGGCCTTTGCGAAAAATGTGTTGGTTTAAGATTTGTTGTTGACACTTTCAGATATTATGGTCCCAGCTGGAGGTTACAGTACCACTTTTGGCCAGATTTTTACATACTGCTCCATTAAGAATAACTTATTTTATTATAAATCCACATATGATTAGATGAGTGGAGTCTGCTGTGCTCCTGCCTGGTTGGAATGAAGACCCGCACCCACAACGGCCCTTTTGAGGAGTGGTTTGAAGACTACTGCCAGGAATTGAGCAGACTTAGATTTTTATAGACGGATAGATCACTCAGCATCAACTCAAGAGAGGGATAAACGTTATTGTTGTCCATACTTGCACAAACAATGCCAGCGTCCCTCTCGTGTCCGCACGCAGACGTTGTGAAGCCGGTTTGGACGCACTTCTGCAGAGTTGTCCCGTTGGTAAAGCATGTATCGCTGGTGTCGACTACAGACCCTGTTCCTGGGCTGAAGTGGGCAGCACCGGGAGCGTTCACGGCATGTCCACACTCGATGGTCTCACACACCACCTCTGCTTTCTCCAACGTCCAGTCGGCATCACAAACGGTGGCCCAGGCTGCACCAGACAGCACCTCCACCCGCCCAGAGCAGGAGTCGGTGCCTGCTGCCAATCGGACATTCAAAGCGTCTGTAAAGTAATGGAAAAGGCGTTTTTCTTTCATGGAATTAGTAATAGATTTCAGACGGATAACTGCTTCATTTTATAACAAGCTTGTATCCTGCTTTTGTCATGATGTCGATCATTAGTTGTGGGGCAACATAGTTGAAAATCGTGGAAGACCCCCATGGTTAAAGCTCATCCGTAGAGATACATTATTTAAAAAACTGTGCTTTAATAGATTCAGAATAGACTGGTAAACTGCTGGATCATTACAGGAAATCCCACTACTGGTTTCCCATCACAGTATTATCCAGATCAATCCCTGCTTAGCTTCTGATATCTTAGCTTTCACATGCAGGCGTATACAAGTCTGTTTTTTTTAAACCATATTTCTACAGGTATGTAATATAGGTCGGACATTCTCTTATAGTTACAAAGTACATCTAAAATACACTTTTTACAAACTTGGAAATGAGAGGATTTTTATGATAAAGCTGTTTCTTGTTCACATTTATTTCAGACGTACCTGAACAAACGACTCCGGCCAGTGAGGTGACGTTGCAGGCTCTTGTTACAAACGGTCGTTGTGGACACTGTGACACGGAGGTTTCGCGCCCGCTGCACTCGATCTGGTCCACCCAGACGTGTCCGGAGCCGTGACCGTAGTCCAGAGCAGAGGTGATGCTGTGTTCTGCTCCACACTTCAGCTGCCGACAAACCACCCCAGCGTCGTTTACGTCCCACAACTCCCCACACACGTCCCCCCACTGGCCTTGTTTGTACACCTCCACGCGGCCAGCACAGCGATTGGGACCACCCACCAACTTGACATTACCTGAAAGAAGAGAACCTTTTTGGTGCCATCTTATACAAACATGGTGGGTTCAAAGATATACAGTATTATGCCCTTTTCAAACATTTAGATTAAGATCCTTTATTAGTCCCACAGTGGAGAAAAGTCAGTGTCACACAACAGTAGGAACAAGGAGCACACATCACAAGATAAATTAGTAATAACTCTATACTAAAATAACAAACTCACAAAAAGAAGCCGTATACAATCTCTATCTTTAGCATAATAGGGTAAGATGTCTAAAATCTTCAACTTTAGTATTATGAAAAAGCAAGAAGCAAGACTTGAGTACAAGCATGACGAAGAAGCAAGACTTTTAAGTACAAATGAGTACAATTAAAAACGCTTACATACAAATCTGTTTTGTCTATGAGGAGGTGGGACCAACTTTATTAAGCTGTTATTACATGAAGTTATGGAGAATTACCTTACCTGTACAAACTATAGAGGCCTGTTCCAGATGGCCACTGCCAGTCCTGGTGTACTCCCGGAGTGTGCACTGAGTGATACGGCTCTCTCTGCCGCTGCAGCTGACTTTAACTCCTCCCAGCAGCTCCTTATGAGAGTGCGACCCAAGCACAGGCAGAGCATCCCCACAGTTCATTTCTCTGCAGACCACCGACGCCTCATTCATGCCCCAGTTCACATCCACAGCAGGAGCCCACATTTCGTTGTGATAGACCTCCACTTGCCCAGAGCACAGGTCTACCCCATTGGTCAGTCTGAGGTTTACTAGGGGGAAAAAAAAGGTACAGTACATGTTTAACAACTAAAACACCAGCTTTTTGAAAGAAATCACAAACATGTGTTGGATTAGAATGAGGTACTTTACAAATTAATATCTTCTCGACTGAAAACATTCCCTGACTAAAGTAAATAAATAATCCTAAAATGAATGTGTATCTGATCCAAAGTGAACTAAAAAACATATTTAATGAAAAACAGCCATTTTCACCAAAAGTTTTAGCAATAAATCAAACAATAGTGATTAAATAAGTGGATTGAGATTTTTTTCCTGCCAACAAAAATAGATGAATTATTAGTTTTACTTTAAAAAAAAACTAAATAAAAACTTAATTGAAATAAGAGTAAAGCCCTACTAATAATTTCATCTGGACAGATTATTAAGGGCATTTTATAACGCATTATTATTTAACTCCATACTGAATGGTGGGACGAGACTGCAGAAAAGTATAGTACAGTAGCCCTGGGGCAGACTGGGGGAGAAGAGTCTGCCAATCTGCACCATCAAATGTGCCAACCACCACTCAATGAATCGACGATCAAAACAACAGTCCCACCTGAGCAGATAACGCCGGCATCTTCCGCGTGGCCACAGTTATTCTCTGCAAACAAAGGGTGCTGACAGTGCACAAGCGAAGACTCGTTCCCCGCACAGTCGAGATCATCGAGCCAGATGGTTCCGTCGCCTTCCCCAAAGAAAGCGCTGCTCATGGCCATCTGAGCCGTGCCACAGTCCATGGCGCGGCACACCACTTCTGCCTCACGGATGTCCCACTCGTCATCACACACGGTTCCCCACTCTCCGTCATGATACATCTCTACTCTGCCAGAACACCGGTCAGTGCCGTTGGCCAGTCTGAGAGGCTGCCCATCTTAGAAACAGAATGATTGTTGCTCTATGCGGCTTGCTTACAGAACAAATATTTTCTGTTCAACAAATCAACAGTAACAAAAAATAATCCATTGTGACACAGGTAAGACAATTTAAAGAAGAAGTATTATGCATTATTTTGGCTATTGAAATAATGGCAGGACTCTTTATTTTGTCATTCCATGTTTTAGAATGTGAAATAATGTCTTCAGTAGAATTAATGGTGAGACAATTATGAATGGTAACTAATGCTTTCTGCCTGTAACTCCCTATGCTACCACAAGAGGGAGGAGCTGTTTTTAATAGTCTATGGCAAACACAACCCTGTGATTGTACAAAAAGAAAAATGTAATTTCACTTAAGAAATTGCCAAACTAATTCATTGGCACTACTTTAAAAGCCAGAAAATGTCAGAGTGGTACAATTACATCATAGTTGTGGGGCAAAACATAATGGTTACTACTAAGGAAAGTCGTGGAACAAACCTCATGATTGCAGCAACTTGTGCAGCTTGCCCATAGACATACATTATATTAAAAGTTTCAATAATTTCGAAATAGACTGATAAACTGCTGGATCGTTACTAGAAATCCTGCTGTGACACCTGGTGTTCCCAGAGGTTTTCCATCACAGAACTATAGTCTACTAAAGTCTATAGTCATTTCACCTAAGAAATTGCCAAACAAATTCATGGATACTACTTTAAAAGCCAGAAAATATGTGTGTGATGTCATAGTGATACAATGACATCATTATCAAATGACTGAGACAGGAGCTTTCAGACAGGTAGGGGTGGAGTTACAATTTGTCGAAACATGGTTAAAGAGTTGATTTTGCATACTATGTCTCCTTTAAATCTTCAGAGGAAACACAAACTACTGTAGATATATACAAATAAAGGATTAAAAGACTATTGAGTTGTTTTATTACCTCCACATGAGACAAAAGCCCCGTCACATGACCTCGTGCTCGCCTGTATTCTGCACTGAGAGATTGAATCCACACTTCCAGAGCAGCTTGCCGTGTAACCTTGCTGTGCCGCGCTGTCACCAAAATGCAGAGCTCCATGAAGCTCTTTGGGGGCTCCACAGTCAAGCTCCCTGCACACCACCTTTGCTTGAGACAAGCTCCAGTTATCATTGCAGATCTTGCTCCATTGGCCGTTGTGTAAAACCTCCAATCGACCAGAACACCGGTCTGTGCCATTGATCAGTCTGACAGACTCTAGACAAGAAAATCATCTATTATTAGAATAAATATTAGGATGTTTTGGTCTGTTTTTGCAAGTAAGATGGACCAAAACCTTAAATTGGTTTTGATTCCTTCCAATACATCATGAATAATGAATTAATAATGTGTGTGAACATAAAATACATTTAAAAAAGGACTTGTTGCACAGCAGCTAGTTCTTGCATTTTATTATGTGGCATAGTCTCAGTATTGAGGTGAAATTAACCCAAAATATAGTGCATTTTTAAAGTAAAAATGAGCAGATGTGGTTGGTGAGCAGCTGACTTACTTACATTGAGCATGGTTTGTCCATGTTATGTTACTTTATGAACTGTAAGATGGAAACTTCTGAATGACCCTAGTGTTAAACTACTGTTCTTTATCGTATTGGATGATTTATTATAATAAAATGATTTACAGTGAAGTCAATCCGTAGGAAATCTGCAGGAATTACTATGTAAAAATGCATTCAATCATTCAAGAGGGTTGTAAACTTTCTCCTACTCCTTTTGAGTGCCATGTGCTTCATCATGAGTATCAGGAGTGTACTTCTAATCAATAATTGTATTATTTTTGGATTTGCAAAAACAAAATAATAAAAGCATACATAATAAGATGATGGCTGATATATACATTTTGAGCAATACATTTTGACCATGCAATTTTGACAAGCAAAAGGTCTCTTTTAGGGACTTATGGGAGTGTAAAATCATATTCTAAATAGACTATGAGATAAACATTTCACGCTATTATATTACGCATATGAGCCTTTAAGTATTCCAAGTATTCAGTACTCCAATTACACCAGGTAGTGGAATATGACACTAAACATCATGTTAAAGCAGGCAAACATTTTCAAAGTATTCTCCCCAACACTACTGTCTCCACATGCAGTACTCGTGCTGACGTACCTGAGCAGACTATCCCTGCGTCTTCATTGTGGTCACAGTCGTTCTCCCCGAAGCCTCGATGTGGACACTCAGACAGCAGACTCTCCATCCCTGTGCAGTCCATATCATCCAACCAAACTCTACCTGTGCCCATGCCATAAAAGCCCTTGTATTTGACCGCGATTGCATTCCCACAGTTCAACTCCCGACAGGCGACGTTGGCCTCCTGTATGCCCCAGTGGTCGTCACAGATGGTGCCCCACTGCCCAGAATGGTAGATCTCCACCCGACCTGAGCACCGGCTCGTTCCATTTACCACCCGGATAGGTTTATTATCTGTGGACACAAGTCACATAAGTCACAATAAGGTCATGCTTTTTAGGACTGCGCTCAAGTTTTACACACCAGACTTAGCTCTTAGTAAAAGTGAGATAGGGTAAAAGAAAAAACTGGTGGAAAATTTAACCTTTTTGGGGGAATTTCTCGGAATTCTAATGATTTGAATTGGGGCAGTCAAAATGACGGCTCTGGGAGTTCTAGAGTTAAAGAGGCATCCAAATGTGAGTTTTGAGATGTCCATTGCGATTACGATTTGATTTAAGTCATAAAGTCAGGATCATATTCAATGTGCACTAGAATAGTTTGGCCATGAGTGGAAACCGAAACGTGAAAAGACAAAGGAGGTAGTATTTCACCTGCGATATTTTCACAGGTGAAAGTAAGGAAGTCATCTTTTTTCTACTGTATATTGCGCAATCTAAGCTCACACAAAGTGCTTCACAACGTTTTGGAATCTCGATAGCGAGACGCCAAACACACTCAAAGCCAGGACCATAACTGTCCGTTTACTCACTCATTAAAACTGACATTGTTGAATTATTCTTAAAACAAAGTTATAAAAGCATGGACTTTGTCATCAGCAGATAAAACAGTAAATATCCAATCAAATTGAGACAAATACTACCTTTTTTGACCTTCTACCTCCTCTTATTAGGCTGTTTTTGAAATTTGCTTTTGCCTTTGCATCCAATATACTGTATCTAAGAGGGGGATAGCTGTTGTCATCTAAATAATTGTCGTTTCTGTGATTGTGGAGGTTGGAAAAAGTAGTTATGGATCGTAGCAATAGTAGGACCAGGTCAAGATGGCTTTGTCTTAAATGTGAATATAACAACACATGGCTTCACTCAGCTTTAGACAGTTGGTAACATTTAAAAGCATTTTGGATGATTACTAAAGAAATATTTTACTTTATTTTCAAATTATAGGGTAGTGCTAAACTTAATATTCACTTATCTAGTGTTGTGTGCACGTACAAAGGATCTCTGAATCTTTATGAGCAGAAACAAATATTGGAAGAAGGCCACTAAAACTGTGACTTGAACATGAACCTCGATCTTACTCACTTGAGCAAACCACAGTAGCATCCACACAGCTCTCCTGCAGGTTTTGATGACTGCACATGGAGAGAGAGGTCTCATTTCTCAAACAGCTGGTTTTGACTCCACCAGTTCTTGGCGCTGCCCCAAAGGCGAACGTGCCAGTTTGAAGAGGATCTGGAGGACCACAGTGCAGCTCCTGACACACCAGACTGGCTTGTTTCTCTCCCCAGTCCGAGGAGCAAACTCTTTTCCATTGGCCGTTATGGAAGATTTCCACTCTTCCACTACAATGACCACTGCCATTCACCAATCGCAAAAAATCTTAAAATATAAAGAAAGCAGACGGTGGGTTAATGGGCAATGTGTAATCGTGTGTGTCCTTTAGAGTTATGCAGACGTATATTTATTCACAATTCATTAATTCACTCAGACACAACTGTAATCTAAACATTTGATTCTATAAGGCTCTAAAAATGTCTTACCTTTCCCAAAACCACAATCTAATTATACACAAAATACTTCAAGAGCGAAATGCAACCTTTCCTGTCCATCTTGTAACCAGAAATAACTTTACATTGTGGGAAGGAAGTACTGCATAAGCTGAGGGAATAAACAAATAGATTCTGAAATGTTATGGTGTACAGTGTTCTCTCTGCAAACTGCCAGAACTGAGGAATCAATTCAAGCTGGGGTACTTACAAATAGAGATAGGTCAAATCAAAATACAAATTGAATCTATGTAACTATCCTTGCTCTCTAAACCGTTTAATTGTATCAGTAGTTTTCCCATGCATGTCTTGTTAAGCCTCTGTCACATCTTTAAATCAGCGAAAAAAATCAGAGAAAGTTGAAAAAGAGAGAACCACACTCTGTCTAAATCGTCAAATAGAGACACATAGGGCTCTACAAGACACAATGTTTTGTGATCAGACAGACACCACTGCAAAAAAGGTCATAAATGCTTATATACTGTACAGTGGAGTTTTTTCTTGATTTGAGTAGATTCTGAATGTCTTAAACAAGATTTGCCAATGAGAAAAGCCATTTAGTCTTATTTCAAGAAATCCAAGGGAGACATTCCTTGTATCTTTTTAAAACAGGAGAATTTTGCGTGTTCCATTGGCAAATCTTGTTTTAAGGCAGTTTGAATGTGGTCAAATTAAGATACATTTTGCCAAATTTGAGCATTTTTTTGACTTCATCACTTTTTGCAGTGACAGCATGTAGTGGTCAGATTTGTCACAAAATTAGACTGTATAATGAGAACTGCTGACCCTGTACATGTATACTGTCATTTGTTTTATGATTGTGTCACAACATTCCAAAAAAAATGCAGCTGTGGTGTGAATCAATAAGAACGTATCATAACTTGTTTTAAATGGCAAAATCCAGTCAATCCAGCTCGAATCCAGTTTTTAAATCCAGGTTGTCGGCCCCAGGTCAAGTCTGATGAACTAAACTGGCCCTCTCACTAAAAAAAGTTTGGACACCCCTGAATATTTGGTGTGCTCTTACTACTGTCCTGCAACATTGAAATAACCCCACTGTGGGTTGAATAAAGGATCTTTAATCTTACCTTATTACTTTTACAAAACTATTTCTGTTGGGTAAAACATGTATTATGTAATATACAAAAAAAAATTAGGTTCCCCAGCTTTAAAAACACATGATATTTTAAAGTGCAAATACCGGAGCAAATGATTCCTGCGTCCTCTCCGTGGCCACAGTTGTGCTCTCCAAAAGCTTTATGTTCACACTTGAAGATAGAAAGCTCTTGTCCAGAGCATTTGACATCGTCCAGCCAGATCTGGTCCTTCCCATGCCCAAAGAAGGCCTCGTTCTTGACCTCCAGTGGCGACCCACAGCTCAGCTCTCTGCACGCCACCTCAGCGTTGGACATGCTCCACTGGTCGTCACAAATGGTGCCCCAGCTGTCGTCATGGAAAACCTCGACCCTCCCGGAGCACCTGGAGGGTCCCACCAGCCGTATTTTGTCACACTCTAACACACGAACATGATTTATTTAAAAAAAGCATTATACATAGAAATAACCTCAATACGTTAAGCCATTACTGACCTGTGACTCGTAAAAGAATAAAAAAACCTGCAAAAAGACAAAAGTTTTTTTTCATACACCGTTTTTTTTTTTTTTTTTTAAACAATGGTGTTAAATATCACAATAATACAAAAGCTGAGAGAAACAGCGTTGCATCTGCGGTATGAAAATATTACCGTGCCCTTAATTTCAAAAGGAGCCTACGAATTTCTTTGTGTACAGTCTAATAGCATGTTTGTTAAAGATAGGTACAAAAATAAAACTTACCAGTCAACCAAAAAAGCACGTTCTTTTCAGACGAAGTGAAGATCATGTTGAATTTCGAAACACCAATAAGGCCGCTTTAAATGTTCAATTGTAAAGAAGAAAAACTGCAACCATTATCAAAATCCTAAAGTGAATTCATCAAACATTGTAGCGTACAAATGAGCCGAGTGGTCATGTTATGGAAAAATTAGTGTCGGGAAATGGAGGACAGACTGGACACTTTGTTGACTTTGTGATCAATCATTAAAACAACAGAAGGATGTTCCTATCTAGTTCCAATCAGATCCAAAAGTTGCAGATTGAAAAAATCCAAATTTCACAAAAGAAAATCTACCGTAAATCTGTATACGCTTTACATATACATCCTGTAAAGCAAAAATTATAAAAACAAAACAACATAAATGTATCACTACAGAAACCCAGTAAACAACATTATTGATTTTGTGGCTCTCAATCCCTCTCACAGTCCAACTCAGGACAGATCGGCATGTTGAAAGCACATCGTGAGACTGACACGTTTAGAAATTTGAGAATGTTTAGTAATTTTCTGCAATTAATTTGATGAAAATAATTTAGGGGAATATAAGGATTTTAAATACACCAATGACTTGGTGATGGTAGACTCATTTAAAAATCATTAACAAATACTTTATTCATTACATTTAGACCCCCTTAAAATACCTCCAATAATGTCAAAAAATAACTATAATAAATAAAAAAATAAAAAACTTTATTCTTTTGGCTGCTGACCAACATGAGTTTGACGACACTGTTCTTACACATCTCAATATAACCTGGACGACTAGCGACTTCCCCAACTGCAGATTATATTTGTGATGAGGTGACCTGCTACAGTCATGTAAATATATTTTTGATAACTAAAAAAAACATTTGATTGAATAAATGTATGGTATAAGCCTTTAATACTGTACTGTGGAATCCCAGGAACAGAATGGTTGTAATCAGAAACTTCCAATTACAGTAAATATATGTTATGCACATTTAACCTCTTTCAATAGTTTGTTTTATTCCTGTACGTTTAATCTTGTTTTACATATGTACTTGTCTTGTGCACACTGCGGACTTTTGCAAATGTATTCCACTGTGGTTTTAATGCAAATGGCAAATAAAATGAATCTGACTCTTGAGATATTTTCTTTGACTTTAATCTCGATGGCAATGGTCCTACAGTATATTCTCACCATTCATCTAAACCATTTTCTAATAGCTGAAAAAGTATAATCTATAAAACATCAAAAATAATTATTTATTTTTCAATAGTGCAATTAGTACAGTATACAGCAAAGTGTTGGATCCACAACTTTCTTGAAAAAAAGTTGTTTGTCTATATCAATTGTATTATACAGCGTGACTAGATCCAAAATGAAGCCAAGCTAGAATTTCTTAGCTGCTTATTTGGCGGAGGTGGACTTATTAGTACTTCAAAGGATGATTCTGTGTCCTGGAATTGAAGGGACTGAGCACCACTCTCATCAACGTCTGCAGACTCCTTTAGGAGCAGATGCAGATGCAGCTGTGGAGCAGTGAGGGCAATAAAGACAGAAGCACAAATCCACGGCTGGCGGGGCACAAGACGCAGAAGAGGATCACACAGAGTTGGTGTTTGGCAATGTGCGCAAAAAGTGCAAAGAGGAGAGGATCGCTAATGCAACACAAGGAAGGTCCATGGCTTCTTCAGAGTTGTATAAAAGTCGTCCACTTGTTTCAGGACTCCGAATCCTGAAGAAGAAATACAGTTTGAGAAGGTTTGGGCACTCCAGATCAAAGTTTATTTGAATGTAAACAGCAATTGCAAGGGAGATATGGAAACATTTCAAAAAGGCATGAATTAAATTGTGCATATTCAAGCCTATATTGTGAAAGAATGAACGGAGGTGAAGATACTGCGCAGTCTGTCCTTGGTCCAACTCACCTTAAGTGAACCAATTAGGATAACAATTATTATTCTGTGGAGAAGTGAAATCACTAAACTCGTGCACACTCTTCCAGTTGTACTTTAAAGAACTTCTCACCCCCGCTCCTCGAGGCTTACGTCACTCACATTTCCTGTTCAAATCTTCCTCCAAATGGGCGTAGCCTGAAGGACTAAAGGGGACAGGCAGAGGGGGGGTGAATGTTGGGCGGGTCTAGGCTGTGATTGACACTTGACAATAAAAGCAATAGTGACTAAAACTACAATATTCAACAACAACGCTATTAACACAACACAATTATCAATAATACAAACAGCTATGCTAATAAAAACCTACCTAAATGCTATATCTAATCACAAACCTGACAATCGATAAAAATACTCTCGTCAGGTATCACCGCTGGGCCAATGTTGGCGCCAGATACAAAATGCAAAAGTAGTAAATACAGGTCGCCTGCAGATGGCGCCTCACTGACGGTTTTAGGCAGAAAGTTGATCTTTCAACTAATGTGACAAAATTATGACCAGGATATGTACACAACACTATTGGACCCTCATTTATACCGTTTATCAGCAAATAAAAGTGGATTTGAGGGTGAGTTGTCCTTGTCCTAAGAAATGTTGTCGTAAGTATTTTTGCCGTAATTGGTTCACTTAAGTGCGACTCCTGACTTTCTGTTTTTTGTAACATGACCCAAAAACACAATATAGTCATACATTCTGATGGACAATCTTACTTTTACAGAAGGCTTTGTTCTGAGGCCCAAAAACACAAACACAGTGTTGTTTTCTTTTGACTGGAAGAAATCCTCATAGTCCTGTAAGAGCAAAGAGGACATGACTATTGCGATATTCAGTCTGTTCACATGTAATGCACAAGACAGGCCTGAGCAGGAGTGGTGCATTGCTTTATCCACTGGCAATGACATTGGCTTACCTTGGCCAATGAGAGTGACAACTGGCAGAGCAGATTATCTGTACGTTCATGAAACTGGATTACATCGGGATTACACCAGAGCATGCAATCTGACTGAGCCATAACTAGGGCCTGTTCAAACATTTTGCTTTGACATTTGTCCCAGAGATAATCATTTTAATCTGTGCAGCAGTAGTGGAGGAATGTTATGTCTTCGTCCATAGAGAAGTTGGTCTCTGGTGATGTTTGAATAGTTGGGAGTAAAATGTCTGTAGAATAACTGTTGTTTCTATGGTAGCCACCTGCTGGTTGTATGTTGTATTGCTTTGAGGAGGTGCTTTCCCCAGGGCATTTGAGGATACTTGGTACAAAACTGATCAAATACAAAAAGAACAACAATTCTCACCCCACAGTATTGATCCTCGTTGAAGATCTGCGGAGGCACAGGTCTCCCCTTCTCCGGCTGCTTGTCTTTGGGAATGTTGTTGTACATCCACAATCGCTCTTTTTCCAACATTGTGATGTCTACCTCCTGAAAGTTGATCCGATTGGCCTCGAGAAAGCCCACCACGTCCTGCTGATGCTTTTTTATCTGGAGGCAGAACAGCGCAGAGTAATACAGATGTATAACTTTGGGCTCATATTTCTCTATAGTGCTCTCCAATATCTTTTAAGTTTGTTTGTTGTTGTTTGGGCATGTACTTTTTTAGTATACTTAACTTGAGGGCATTGTCTCAGGTACAAGCAAAAATATAATCCTATGGCTAAAACCAGATTCTACATGTATTACCATCATCTTGAATAATGTATCTTTTTATGTTTGCTTGTCCTGTAATCTGTGTTCTCTCATCTTATGAACATATTTGTGAGATATACAGTACAATTAATTGTGTTAAATTCTAGAGTAATACTTTACAGTGACAAAAAGCAAAAGGTCAGTTCTTGTTTCAGCCTGGCCAAAACAATGAAGTATTCTCAGATACAGCTCCTTTGGGATCCTCTGACTGCAGTTTGTGAATGCTATTTATAGAAGACTGAAAACTCCCATGAACAAGTCATAATGGTAATGTAGTGTGTTTGCCTTCTGACCTCCTACACGAGCAGGACTAGGGTTAAGCAACATACTATTTTGATTTTTCTAACTTTCAGATTACTTTAAAACCACTGAACATGATAAAAGAGGTAAAAGATTATAGAGACAGAAACATCCCTTTGTTTCACAATCAGGGTTGTAAAAGTACATTTCCGAGGGCGTCATAAAGGATGAACTGTGGCAATCATATAAAACCACAGTATCAGTAGAGTCTGAAATGAAACCAAAGAGGCAAAGGTCCTAAATAATGAAAGGGGTGGCCCCCCACTGAGAGCAAGTGAGAGTACAGTGGATTATCAATAGATTTAAAAGTATGGATTAAACTCACAATAAAAAAACAGTTCAATCTAAAAAATAAGGATTAACTTGTGAACCAGAAAGACAAATAAATCCCAGAGGATTTACAGAAACATGAAACACATAATAGACTGTATATTCTGTGACAATACACAAAGATATGTGTCAAAGATATAATTTATATTTCCTTACTGTCTGAAATTAAATGACTGAAGCTTCCACAGTGAATCCAGCAGAGTGGACCCATTAATTCAAACAAAATGTATCCTATGGAATACATCTTAGGTCTTAATAGCTCAACAACTGTCAAATGAAGAAAACATAATAAAAGATAAAGAAACAAGCATTTGTTATGAAGTAAATGTTATCTTATCTTATGATGGGAATACAGCTGTGCAATACGCCGATTAAAAAGTAAATCAGGCTCCAAGAAAAATGGGAAAGATTTTGGCACGGCACCAAATTTCTAGATAAGCTTTTGTTATGGTACCTAGTTGACTGGTCACAGATAATGACAAAAATAAATCTTTTTACATCTCATTTGGTCTCGTTATTCTGCTCCACTAAGCTATTGTTTTAGCTGCTCATTTAAAGACTATACAGTCAATGGTGCAGTGTACTTCCCCCATGAACATCTATGAAACCCTATTCTGTCACCTCTTGATTCAATCACTTGTAACCCAATTGGAGACAATTCAATTTACAGCCACATGAGCAAGAAAACACAGGCTTCAAAGCTGGTCTCTATGTTCAGATTTTACATTGTGAATAATTTAAAATGTGCCCACTCCAAACTGTATGAAAACATGCATAGCAAATGAATTACTCATTTCAACTATTACACAAGACTCTAGGTATTTGCTGAGGAGCTCTGGATAACTATTCTTGCACACGCAGGGTCTGTGTATAAAGCATAAACAATAGAGAGCCCTGCAAGAATATATTAAATCATGCTGTCATAAGAACACAGTACAGTAGAGCATGCACTGCTGCTATTGATTATGTTACTGTCCGTGATAAAGTGTAGAAGTAAATAGTAGTAGATTGTGCAGGGGCTGAAAAGAGCACTTCAACACCAGGTTGATGCTCAATGTACTTTTTCTACAGATATCTTTCACTCTTGCACAACCGACGCATTTCAGAGTTTGACACTTACCGCCACAGAGCCAGATGAAGAGGCGATGTAAACCTTTACTACCATCTTAATCCCGAAGTCTCAGATTGCGACAGTGATGTCTTTTTACTAAAGTCCTGTGTGTGCGTTAACCTCAGTCAGCTTTGGAGAGGCGCATCTAGAGCATGTCAAGTTAAACTGTGTGGACCAAAGCCGCACATATGTCAAAAAGCAGTTTCCGGTCAAGTCATTTCTTAATAAAATCTTTCATATAACTTTTTCACTTCAAATCCAGACATCTGTTAATCACTAAAGCCCTGAAATATTAGACAGTGGAGGCCCCAATTCTTTGTTAAAACGTGCCATATTTGTAGTATGTCGGCGGCAAACGGAAATGAATTGAGATGTTTTTGTTAACTTGACAACACAGTTTTTCATCCTATCATTCCATTATCATGTGTTCATTTACGCCACAAACACATACATGTCATTGTTTTTGTTCTTCTATTTTCATACCTGAAAATAAGAAAAAGCATAACATAAAACCAAAAACTGAGTTCTATGACCAAAATAGATCCTCAGGTCTCTGCACTGGCTTCCCGTGGCCCAGAGGATAGACTTTAAAGCAGCTCTCCTGGTGTACAAGTCTCTCCGTGGCCTTGCACCAAAGTACATCCATGATATGCTAGTCCCATATGAACCAGGCCGGACTCTGAGGAGCGCAGGGACGGGACTCCTGTTAGTGCCCAGAGTCAGGACTAGACAGGGGGAGGCTGCTTTTCAGATTTATGCAGCTAAAGTCTGGAACAGTCTTCCTGAGGATGTGAGACTGGCTGCCTCTCTGTCAATGTTCAAATCCATGTTAAAGACTTTTCTTTTTTCCTGTGCATACAACTAGAGAATTTTATCTTTTTAACACACCTTGTTATTTATTGTTGTAACTTTTTGTGTTTTTAACTATTTTATTGTTTTTAATTACTTGTGTGATTCTTATGTTTTTAAATTACTTATGTGATTTTAATGCTTTTTAATTACATATGTGTTTTTAATTGTATTTTAATGGTGATGATTTGTGCATTGTGTGGTGTGGACTGTGAGGCGCTTTGTGTTGCCCTGTGCAGGAAAAGCGCCCTATAAATAAAGATTGATTGATTGATTGATTGATTGATTGATTGAAAACTGGAAACACCGTTTGAAAGTCGCATAACAGCGTCATCGTGTGGTGAATGAGAGCAACGCAGTATAAGTCGACAGTGAAGCGTGTGTAAGTGTACGTTTAAAGTTAAGATTCATTCGTGTTCGGACATAGAAGCAAATATTGTAAACGCAGTGAAATGTTAGAGAAGAATAAAACACGGGAAGGTGTATTTGAGAGAAGTTGAAGTTTCGTCCGTCAGGTGCTGTTGCCATGGGGACAGACATCGCGTCAGTGGTAGGTCGTGAGGCGTGCTCCGAAAGTCTACAACAACACAAATCTGACCGTTTGCGGCACTAAGGCCCAGTCCCAATACCCACACTGCACCCTACGCCCTCCTATGAAGTGTGCATTTGTTTGAAGTGCGCGCAAGGGTTTGAGTGCGCAGGTTACAAGTGTGCAAAAAAGGCGGAATTGGGACAGTGCACACTGAGTGCAGGTTACGTCATCGACTCGTCAAGAGATGGTCATTTTCAGACCTAAACTTTATACAAATTAAAGGTAATTTTGTCTGATCCTTTGGGAAACTAAATGAATTGCTTCACACACGTTAAAATACATGTATATTAGTGGTTTCTAATTAGAGATAGCTGTATAATTTTAAGTTAAATGTGGGTAACTAACTGTTATCTGGTCAGTTTTTATACATTCTAAGATTATTGTACTAAGTGTAAAGTTTAAATTGAATGTTATATAAACGCTTGGTTTAAAAAGTTATTAAATTGTTAAAACACAATGTCCGTAAATCTTCATCAGACGTTTATGCTTCTTTCCAAGTAACAGCAAAACTTATTTACACACATACTGCATATATATTTCAAAATGTATATTTAAATGCATTTTCCCGACGTTTTGGTGTGTACCGCAAAGAATTATGGGCAATATCCTTCGCCAGAGTGCGCATAGATGCAGGCTACGGCGAAGTGTGGATCAGGGGCGCAAAGGGGGCGGGGCCAAAGACCTCCTTGGAGAATTGGGACACCCTACGCACTCGCACCCTTTATCGGGAACGCGCAAATGAGGGGCGCGAGGGTGGAAGTGTGAGTATTGGGACGGGGCCTAAGAGACGGACTTTTACTGCTAAACAAACCGAACAGTACAGCCATTGGTCCCTGATTACATTGATGATGACACTTTTTCATAAGGTAGATACGAAGCTTGGGATGGTGGTAAAAAAGCTAAGCTAGCTTCATGATTAGCTTTTGGGCTAGCTTTAAGCTAAACAAACTGACAAAGCTGTTGAGGAGAGTTGTTTAATTATACTACTTTCAGTTGAGTCTTCGTTAAATAATCTTTGTAGAACCGTATAGAGGGACCTTTCTATCCTCTGGAACTAGACAGTACAGTAGAATGATGGTGATTTTAGCCAACAATACAAAGGCAAAGCTATACGCTGCGCTATATTTTAATTTGCTCGTGCCTATTTGATAGAATCCACTTGACATCCTCATAATTAACTACTTGTTAGTTGGCTGTTGTCTGTCAGTTTGCCTTAGACAACACTTTGTTTAGTCACTCCAAAGCGAGAAATCAACGTTCACATCTCAACCTGTCAAAAACAGTCGTCTTTAATCCTATCTGTTATTGTCAGGTCGTATCCAAAGCAGGGTTTGAGTGTTCCTAGTAACATGTTCATTTTCTTTTTGGCCAATATTTCAAAATGTATTTTGTTAGGGTTCAGGTTCATCTTATGTTGAGGCCTAATACCTTGGCATCAAAGAATCTCTGTGAAGAGTTTTGGAATGTTTTTTTGAGATTTGTTGCCCTGAGGGGGTGTGTAATAAAAAATAATTGTAGTCTCACGGAAAATTCTACCCAATGAATACTTTTGCTTAGCAGCCACAAGGCCTATAAAAAAAAGCATTGCATGAATAGGGATGTATAGTGTATACCAACGTTTAGTAAAATTATTTATTCGTGTTTATTGTGTGTTTCCATTATGTATAAAATCGTCCCTCTTCTTTTGTTTTCTACAGTGATTTCATGGAGTCTGAAAACTTTCCTGAATCATATGCGGACAATAGGGCTGTTGTGAGCCGCCAGTCTGTACAGAGTACAAAGAAGGATTCCCAATCCTTAAAAAATTACAAACTCAGGGATGAAAATGAAAAACGGGAAGTAGACTCCAGATCAAAAACACGGATTTGCCACTCAGACCCAGACAGAGACCATACATCAGACGAAGAGAGCAGACGGAGTAAGGAGTCGTATTACTCAGATGACTACGAATCTCAGTCCGAGTGCTCTCTCTCACCCTATGCACGGTCCCGCTCTCCAAGTCCTCAAAGAAAAGAAACCAAGTTAAGCCCTCCTCATAAGACAGGTATGCCAAATCACCAACTCATATATCATGGTGTGCAGCTTGTATTAGTTATAATGTAGGTTATTCTTGTGTAGTTAATATCTACAAATATTGAATGCATTTATAATTTGGAACTCATTAAGTAAAAAGTGTATGTTTTTTAGCGAGTGTGGGGCGCAAAGGAGCCCCTCGGCCTCAACGAGGAGGAAGACGGTATGCGTCCCAGCAGCTTCATCGAGGAGCAGATTCACAAAGCAAAGGGGTCTCTCCTCCCAAAGACCTGGACCTTGTCACGAAACGGATGCTTTCAGCTCGTCTTCTGAAAATTAATGAGTTACGTAATGCACTTACTGAGCTCCAACAACGCACAAATGAGCTGCAAAAAGAAAATCGAGTTCTTAGACAGGTAGATAAAAACTAAACCTAAAAATAAATTGTATTTTTGTAATTTTGTAAAAAAAAAAAAAAATACTGGAATGTCCATGATGTCTTTTTGTAGCTCCAGCTGCGTCAAGAGAAAGCCTTACACCGTTATGATGACACAGAAAGTGAGATTTCACAACTGATTTCTCGACACTCTAATGAGATCCATGTGCTGCGTGAGCGCCTCAGACGCACGCAGGAGCGGGAGCGCACAGTGGAGCGGCGTTTGAAGGAAAGTGAGGAGCAGCTCACAAAAAGTCAGGCCACTGTGGCTCGACTAAAGAAACTGGTCAATCAGCAAGATTTGGGACAAAGAGATGAGCTCTCTCGCAAACTTGATGAGGAGAAAGGATTAAGACAGGAAGCTGAACGTAAAATAAAAGTAATGTTTACTGACACACTCCTTAATTAATTTCCTGTTCTAAAAGTTGTATATTTTATACTTGTATAATTACCTGTGCAATCCTAGGAGCTGGAGCGAAGTATAGAGCTGAGCATCAGCAGCTTCCAGAGACAGCTGGTGTCTGAGAAAAAGAGGACTCTAGCTGCTCAAGAAGTGGTCAGATCTGTTCAAGAAGAGCAGGAACGCCTGACCAACAAGCTCAAGGTGACGAAGTACTGCAGTCATGTGCGTTTGGTTCATTTACTCTTGTCACTGAAATCTCAATGAAGAATTGTACTTGAATTTAAGGAGAAGGACAGAGAACTTGATGTGAAGAATATTTACTCAAATCGCTTGCTCAAGCCATCTCAAAGGAAAGACGCCGAGAGTGGTACAAAACGTAAATGTGAGTCTGAGCTCTGTTTAATTGATCATTTTTCAGGATGTTTTATTTATTTTTAACGTTTTTTTTTCCTTAAAGTGGTCTCAAGTAAAACAAGCACAGTGGCAGTGCAAACGGAAGATAGACAAGAGTTGGCAAGTGTAGGATTTCCCACACCTCCTCCTGCTATCATTGACTCCAATGAAAACGATGAATATTTTTCACTGAAGGTAAAATTATTGTTAACATAGTCTATTTTGTTTGTCTTTTTTATTTTAAATCATTTTTATTCATTCACAGGAGCTTAACAAAGACGTAGAAAGTCACACACAAACAAATCAAAGCCACAGTGAAGTACAACTACAAGAAAAGGCCAAGGATCAAGAGAGAAATAATAAACAACAGAGCTTTGAGTCAAATCTACACAGGGAGACTGACAAGGCGATAAAAGAAGGTAGGAGTGAAGATTCGCACATCAATTTCTGCAGATCAGGTGCGTTGGAGAATAGGCCTGTGCACCTTACAGTTCTACTCACTGATTCTGTTTTAATTACTGGGTTACATAGGGGTTTTACCAATGTAAGCCAGACCACATGGGCACTTCAGCATATACATTACATGTGTGGATGCACAGCTGATCACACTTTTTTATGGGGAATTTCTTACAGGTGTGGGGGTACAAAAAATCATACATTTTTACAGTGTTAATACACTGAGCACAGCAGCCAGAGCAGTAGTTACCAGTAGGTATAGGTTGTAGCAGTGTTTGTGAGGGTTCCTTTGGTGGACTTGTAAAGGTGGTCTGCACCAGACTATTCCTCATGTTTTGTCCCTGTTTACTTGCTAGAGATTTTTGGGTCTTTCTAACCCGACCAACAGTGGCCACAGCTAAGTAAAGGAGGCCAAACAAATGAATCGCGCAATAAAAAAATGACTGTTGATATTGATTTGCGTTAAATTATATTTTGCACAGCACTTAATTATTATCAGATGATTTGTGAATTGTTTGTTTTGTTAATTTTTTCTTCATATATTATTGATTTTACAGAATGCAAAAAAGAACTCAAAACGGATGTGGAAAGTCCCACTGACAGCAAGGAGAAAAGCCCAAGACCTGGTCGTGTAGCGGAAGACGTCCAAAGGTTGAACCAGGAGACTTTGGTTAATCAGCAAGAAGAAGAAGAGGAGGCGCGTCTGAAGAAAAAGCGTCTCCTGGCTAAGATGCGAGAAATCGACCAACAGAATCAAACGACTAACAACCATATTTTGAATGTGTCAAACTCAATTGCTGCATCGGAGCAGAGAAGTCCACGCTCTTCCATTTTCAGCCTCTCACAGACAGATAACGTCCTAAATACCAGTTGTGAAAGTAAAGACGGGATAGGAAGGAGAAGTGAACGTGAGAGCGGAGGTCTCACAACTGGTTTGGGCAGAAGAGCTTTTCGCACACAAGCCTCCGATGATTTGGCTTTCGGAAACTACGCACCCTCGTTTGGACATGCATCCTCCCGGGGAATGTCTCATTTACCTCAGACGCCACCCAAAGAAGACAAAGGGTCTGCACTCGAGGCCATAGGGGTTTTCAGCCTCAAGAAGACGGACTCCGACAAAGAAAAGGATTTTATGAACAAAGTAGGAGAGAAAGATCGAAAATCTATCCTTATGCAGCAGCTCTTTGGAAACATAGCCACAATTGACAATGTAAAAAACAAAAATAAGGACATTCTCGATAGCCCTCCCAGCACAAACGGAGTGAGGTCGAGGAGAGAAGGACTGCAGGGTTTGCACTCAGGGTCCCACACACCGCCAGCTGAAACCAAAAGCACAATCCAAGTTGTGGAGACAAAGCCAGCCGTCCGCGCCATTGCCTCTTTTGATGAGGATATAGAAGAGCTCACATTATAAGACTCTATACAAGCAGACTTATATATTCATGTACAGCGCCAGAAAATGGCGCTTTACTGCAAATGACAAATACATTCTTAAATCTTGAATCTTTATCTTCAGGGAGCTTTTATTGTATATCATTTAAAGTACTTAACTGATCATTTTTAGTTAAATGCCAAACAATTTGGTGCACTGTCACTGCAAAGCTCTTAATTTTACTTAAAGAGAAGGTCAGTTACTTTTCAAAGCTGAAGATAGAGAGTCCGTTAGACCCGCCCCCAGAGGGCTATTCTCCTCCAGATAATCTTACTGGTAATGCTTTTTTTCCAATGGGAGGTTCTGTTTTAAAAAAAAAATTATATATATATATATATATATATATTTTTTTTTTTTAAATATATATTATAAAAATAAGAATTGTCCACTTACATTTGGCCCTCCGCGGGCGGTTATCCCTCTCTAAGCTCGGGTCCTCTACCAGAGGCCTGGGAGCTTGAGGGTTCTGCGCAGTATCTTTGCTGTTCCTAGCACTGCACATTTCTGGACCGAGATGTCCGAGGTTGTTCCGGGGATCCGCTGTAACCACTCTTCTAGCTTTGGGGTCACTGCCCCGAGTGCACCGATCACCACGGGCACTACTGTCACCTTTACCCTCCAGGCCCTCTCCAGCTCCTCTCTGAGACCTTGGTATTTCTCAAGCTTTTCTTGCTCTTTTTTCCTGATGTTGCCATCAGGAATATACAGTGTATGTATGTATATGTATATACAGTATACATATATATATATATATTTATTTTTTATTACTTTCCCATCGTTTTTCTCTGCTCATGATTTAGACAATCACCAAATAGCCCCAGTTTGTGTAGGAATCTGTATTGAATAGTTTGAAAGTACTCTAAAAGTTTCTTATTTATATTTTAGAACTGTATTCTTGTATGTGTGTTTACTTGAATTTTTGTCTCGTGTCTCCTTATGCGTCAATAAAAGCAACAAAAAAGTGTGTTGCTTGATTGATTGTGGTATTTTTTATGAAAAAGGGTCATTAATCTCTGGGACGCGGTTCCAAGCGCAGCCACCTGACGCACGCTCCTCCCTCCGGACTGAGGTGAAGCGCGGATCATGTTGTGGTTCAGTCAGTCCGCGATCCATAGAGCAGACCATAGAGCAGACCATAGAGCAGACCATAAAGCACACCCCAGAGCAGACCACCGGGCTGCGCGCTCCTGGGACCGGGTTGCTGTCTGCACGTCAAAGTAAGGTGCGTAAAACTGCTATTATCTGAATTCGAGTTGAGCAAGTGCGTGCCAATTATGAGGCGACTTTCAAGTCGCCTCATAATTGGTTTTTGTAGCGCCACACATATATATATATGTTTTTCTCTAGATCCGATTAGAAGTGAGCTAGAATTGAGTATTACCTATTTGTAGTGGCTCATTAGCTGGTTGACACACAGTAAGATGAACTAAGGTATAATATACGACCTAAATTAAATTCGAGTCCACATACTCTTACAGTACAGTGTAAAGTGATTATTGCAACAACAACAAAGAGAGAAAAAAAATTAGGCTGCCCTCTTTACTGACTCGTTTTTGGTTGGTGATTTTGTGTATTATAGGCCTTTTGTGCCTTGTTTTTATCCCCTCAGACCCATGATCCAACACGACACACTCTTACACACTCACCTACCCGGCTTCACTATCCTAAACACTTTAAAGTTATTTATAAATACAAAGAATACGTCAATTCATGGACATCAGTCTGCTTCTGATTAATCATGCCGTTTTAATGATCAAAACCAACAAAATATCCGTATTGAATTAATTATTGAATTTGTTATATTCCTTGAGTAAACATTATGTGTGCACAGTAGTTAAAAATGCATGAGACATAGATTTTCCTGCTCGGCCACTGCTCTTCTGTAACTATGCAGTCCCTGAGGACAAACTGGATTCCTGTAGACAATATGGAGAGGATCCATTCTCAGTTGTGCATCGTCAGGTTTCTCAGACTCATATCATTGCTGTGCAGAAGGCTGAGGGTGGAGAAACAAGTGTGGTTTCTTTACCTTAGAGATTTCTTTTATATTCACACATTTGTCTGGGGTCAGCTACCGTGATCAGTCAATGATCAGATAATGATTGATCATAAAAAGTAATGTGTACATCTATTTTTTTGCACTTATTGCACAGAGGAATAAACCTTGTTTTATGTTTTGTCTTCATTCTTGTCTGACTGAACATACTATATTGTTAATGGGGAATTTTTAAATAATAAAAAATCCAACATAACTACATATTGCTTGCACTAGAATTCACAGTACTTTATACTTGCCTATTATTTTTCCAAATGTAAAACTTTTACACTTATTTTTATTATTATTTTCAAGATTGAGATTTTATATTTATTGTTATTGATGATAGATTTTGTTTTATTAGTGTAGCTATTGTTCACTTGTCCTCCTCATTCCTACAATTTTATAACCTGGGATGCAACACTGAAATTTCCCCACTGTGGGACGAATAAAGGATCTCTTCATCTTAATCTTAATCTGTAAACCTCATAACAATTTGGTTTTATCAGTAGTTTTCACTTACACATTTTCAGGCTGTGACCAAACCTCATTTCCGCTTTTTCAGTCCCTGAGAAAGTCCTAGTTAAATATGGGTCAATTAAAAATGTAAAATATTGTACATTAAATACTGTAGTTACATTTCCAACCTGTTGATTTCCGCTGACTTAGAAAAGCTAGTGTCACACCCATAGACTATGGGCACTACTACTACTACTATATACTATATACTACACTACTATATTAATATTGATAAATGTAATGTATCAATCACACTGACTTCTCTGTTTATAGAAAGAACAAATCCATGCATTAGAAGTGCCTCTCCTGAACTGTCATGGATGCCCCTTCAATCCCCCAAATCACAATCGAAGAAGCCAAAAGCGTGGAGGATTTGGACACCGACGACCACCTGGACAACTTGAAGGCCCTGGCACAGAAACTAAACCTGCAGACTCGGAGGCCTTCGTACCTGGAGTGGAAAGCCAGGTTGGATGCAAAAGCTCCTGCAGAGGAATTACCAGGATCTGAACAATTCCCAGTGGAGAATGTTATGAGGGAGAAAGAAGGCGCACTGTCGTCTGAGATGCTTCAGGCATACAACAACATCGATGAGTCCCTCGCTTTCCTCAGGAGAGAACTGGTGAGGCAATGTGTGAATGTTACGGAGCTTTAGTTTACCAAATGCTTCTATGATGGGTTTGGTGTGGGAAATCTACCGGGAAATGTCGAGTCGTTGCAATATTCATCAATTTATAGTTTAGTTTATCTGTAGTTCAGCCAACTAAAAAGGCGGAGAGGCAAATATACTTCATTTATCAAACTCTATTCAACAGATGTAAGGTATAAAATCACAAATAATATTTATCATCATTTTTCAATATATGTAAATGAATAAAGTATTGGTCAAACTTGTGAGTTGAGTGTTTGATATAGATTGAATATTAAAGTAAATACCACATTCTGCTACTTTGCTGCGCGGCTCCTGAAATGTGCCGTTTTCCCATAGAAATCCTTGTACAGTAATTTAAATCAAACAATTAGACAACTAATACACAGCCCTAATCTTAAGTGACAAACTGATTTTTATTATTATTATTATCAGGACTACATACATGCAACCATCAACACGTACCAAAAATGTGTCTTTTGTCAACAGCTTGGCAAACCAACTTGACATTGATTCAGTACAGCATTTTACCTCAGAGGAATGTGATAGATTAACACATTTTTGGAAGGATTCTGAAAGCAAGATTATTCTAGTTTATACTAACTCTTGTTGCAGGGTTAAAGGAAGGAGAAGATTTCATGTTGTTTTCAGGCAGAAAAAAGTGCATATTCCTTAAATACTTTCATTCATTGCCATGCCATTTCTGAATCACTATTTTTTATTCTATTCCACATTACAGAGCCAGGGCCGGTTGTAGGAATTGGTGGCCCTAAACAGGATTGTGGTTTAAGCCCCCTATATCAAAGTAAGGAAAATAAACGGGGAAAAAAATAGTTATTTGGACCTTATTCCACAGCATTTACAGGTTTGAGTTAGCCTGGCCTTAGCCGTCCGTACACTCCGCTAAATCATCATTTCACTGCATGTAACGTCTGGGTTTGGTCCCCATGTTAGCGATTACGATCGGTTGAATTTCGACCGACCAATCAGCGAGCGCGGAAGGCGGGTGTTGTAGTTGTGGGTGACGTCAAGAGTTTGCGTCGAACGGGAAGGTTGTTGTTGGTGAAAAATGCAATAGTAAAGTAATCCGGTCTGGTTCTAGAAATTGAAGCCGGAGCAAGAGGAATGTTTAGAAAATGTAATTGCTGGAAAAAAATTGTGGCGCTACTCCCCACGCGCTCCGTTAGCGGCAACGAAGACGGCTAGGCTAAATGCTAACGACTCCCATCTGTTGACGGAGCTCAATGGAGCGTCTCCAGACCTCAGTACGAAATGTAATTTGTACTATGGTGTGGTACGACCAGGCTAGGTTTGAGTTACTTTTTTATTATCCTGGCAAGGGGTAAAGTCATCACTGCAATGTGTCTGTAGGCAGGATTACACAAAAACTACTAGACTTATTGAGTTGAAATTTTGTGTGTGATAAATTGTGACTGTAGGAAGTGCCGTCTTAAAATTCCAAGATGATCTGCGGTGTTGGGGGGGGGTGTGCACTCTTCAAGGGCATAACAAGGGTTGCTGTCTTTGGGCCCAGTATAAACTCACGTTTCCTCTTTGGGGGTCTCCCCTCTGCAGATGGACATGCGTGTGCAGGATCAGCAGTTGGCTAGGCAGCTCATGGCGCTCCGAGGGGACATCAACCAGCTGAAGATCGAGCAGACATGCCACCTCCACCGGCGAATGCTCAACGACGCCACCTATAGTCTGGAGGAGAGAGACGAGCTGTCGGACTTGCTGTGTGAGTGCCCTGTCACTCCCGGGCTGGGACTGTCTGCCCCACTGCGCCTCATAGGGGTCACCAAGATGAACATCCACTCTCGCCGCTTCTCACTGTGCTAATGCTCTTTCATGCTTCACTGCAAAACACTTGATCAGAGTCGGGCCTCTTTCTGGTAACTGTTTTACTTTTCTGCATTCAATTACTTCATTCAAATAAAAATAATACATTATGGTATTTGAAACATGCTTTTTTTCATGTTGATACCGCTCTTGGTGGTTCTGATTATATAGATGTCTGTGTGTAAAAAGGACATCATCTCACCAAACATAACCAAACTTGGCCTAATTTGTCTAAACTCATCATAAAAAGTAGCATTTCACTGTAGTATATTTTTCCCAGGTGAATATACTGTTGTAAATCCAAGCACAAGCTCGTTCTCACTGTGACTTATTTGATGTTTGTGTAAGGTCCTGTTTGTCACTTCACTCTGAGCCTCTGATGTAAAATGTTTGAACACTGCTGATCTTCACAGACAATAGTCTTCAGAGTTCAGTGAGGTGTAACTATGTGATTGCTGGGCAATTATGAGAAAGACCTGACAGGTTACATCCCTTGTTTTTCCATGGGGTTACATAAGGGTCTGGCTCACATAGTTTAGGATGTGGGGGTGCATGATGTGAGAATACTGGAATCCCCATCTACTATCTGGGAAACTTGAAAGGCTATGTCATGAATGACTGAGCTCAGCCTGTAACAGTCTTACATGTGGCAGGTGGAGCCTGCGTGTCTCGAGGTGTTGTTTAAAGTACTCCACAGAGTGTGGCGATCGCAGGTCGGGGGGCAGAGCGTTCCAGAGGTGTGGAACGCTCAGTGAAGTTCAAAATTGAGCAGTTGGGGATATATTTCACTGCAGCAGTCAAGTCAGAAATAGCTTGCAACATCAGAACTTTTTTGAAACAAAACACAGGTTTAGTGAGGACTCAGTGTTTTGTTACTGGACAGATCATGATCCAGGACGAAACCTGAGCACAGGTGATTTTCCAGTGCATGGTCAGATCATTTACGCTCATTCTGACCGTCAGAATGACCTTCAGAGAAGGGCTGTAAAGTCATCATACTTAATATGGTCAGTTATTTCATCAATAGAATAATTATTACCTGCTCCAATTTTGTCATTTTAAAACCCAGAAATTACATAAGCATGACACAGGGAGTGTGCATACATCTCATTACAACATCAACCATTGGTCAGATTTGGAAGGTTTGGGGTAAAATAAATTGCCCTGGGGCACAGTGACAGACACGAGGCAACCAGTATGTGCCATCGGCCCCTCCGACCACCACCAATCATTTGCTCACACCACTCATACAACGCAATGTGGGTGAACAACAGTTTGACTTTTACAGGCACCCCTCTGTGGCACCCGGTGTTCCCAGGGGGCTCCCATCACAGTACTAACCAGGCCCTGGCCTGCTTAGCTTCAGAGCTCTGAAAAGGATCTGGTTTTCACATGCAGGTGGCACCCATAGACTAAATAATAACGGATGTAGACATGTCTATCCCCACCGTTGAAACTAATGGGCCTCCAGTGGGTTTTTTCAAAATGGCTGCAGGGACTGGAAAATGTGATCTACTTAGACTGCTGCCCCCGCGACACGGCAGCGGATGAAGCGGAAGACAATGGAATGGAATGGTTAGTTGCGGTGAATTGTGTAATTGAATCTGCTGTTGGCCTCCACTTTTCACTCGATACTGTCATTTTCTCATTTCAGTGTCCTGGGAATAATATAGACACAGGCACTAGTTCCACATGAGCAGATGATCAAAAATTCAAATCCAGTAAGACAACCACAGATAAATAACTTATTTAATAAGATACTTTCTCAGTTGAGCTCTGATACAGACAACTGCAGTGGTGGTAAAGGCACGAGGATATAATGTTAATAATATGGATAATCGGCAAGTACCAACTCTACATTCCCGGTAGAAACCAGAAGTTTATACAAAATAAAACATACATTTTTATTTCTCACATGATTTAGGTAAATCATTTTACTAGAATTATTTTGGATTAGAAATAACCGGTCATTTTCTAATTGTGGCATTGAACCAATAATTAAATGTTATTGACAACAACATTTGGCCAATACCAATATATATCAGTATCTACTACTAATTTTTAGTGGCCCTGAAAAACCCAAACTAAAAAATCACTTGACTTCAAGCCAAAATATTCAGAGGTATTTCTACTTTTGGATATTGATATCAAACCATGTGTGTATGTAAGCGCCTGGTTTCCACGGTACAATTGGTGGCCTTGTTTGCTGCTCTAAGTCCATTAAACAGTATTTAAAAAGCTAGTATATAAAACAAATTGACACTAATAAACAAAACATAATGCATAACATGTAAAAATGCCATTCTGTGTAATTGTTACACTCATCAAGCAACGCACAAAATACTTCAAACAGCTGACTGACCAAAAGACAGAAGTCTTCCACTTTCACACGGGTCTCTTCCGAGCCACAGAGTTTAAATACATGCTCTGGAGATCTGCTAGCTACATTAAACATAACAGTGGCAGATACTGCCAATACAAGAGTACAAAATCAAAGATATCCAACATCGATGCAAACTGGTGGGATGGAGAAGTGCAGAGGTGGCTTGAATAACTCTCACCAAGGACATGCAGTGCGATGGGTTCTTCTTTTGTTGCCTGTCCCCACTGAGAGGGACAGTCTATGGGGTCACTGCCTCCTGGTCCATGCTGCAGCCCAGAGCTTCTATGTCATTACTTATATCTGTAATCATACGGTCCCACTCATCCCCTTCAGAGGTCTCGGGGCCCTCGTCAGATGTCGCACTGTCTTCGCTGCCTCCTGCTGCCCCATTTCCATTAGTTGTAGAGTCGGAGGCGGAGCTAGCCGTGCGCCTGTAGCGACCGAAGCTGTCCGTGATGATGCCTCTGCCGTCTTTTACCCCAATGGTTTCCAGAAAGTTCTCAAAGTGCTGGCTGTCCTTCTCAGGAATGAAGGCTCGCAAACCTGACAGAATATCATTATAATGTAGTTCTAAAAGACAGATGCCATGGTAGAATAAAACACATTACCAAGTAGAAGGAACTTCCTGCTGTCCCCATAAAGTTGACGTAAGTTGATACAAAACTCATGAATAGAGGCCCCATTACGATATTCACGGAGCAGAGTGGCAAACTGCTGAATTTCCTGAGATGACAATTTTGTCCGCAACTATGAGGAAAAAAGGATAGGTATAAGCCTGAAAAAAAGCACGTTAAACATCATGTTTGGATGCCTACAGTGGTCATGTAGTCCTGCAGCAGTTCAGCAGCTGTCGTACTGAGCTCTCCTTCACTAGCCGGCTTTGTCTGAGGCGATGTCGCTGCTGAAGCTGGAGACGAGTTTACTTCTGCCTCCACAGAGTCCTGAAAGGGACTGTCACAAACACTGAAGTCAACAGTCATGTACATTTCTCCATTGTTAGATCAATAAAGTCTAACTCATCTTTTCTCAGATGAAACTATTAAATTCAACGTCACTCAATACAACACCATTAACTGAGGCAGGAGGGTCTGTTAAGCCTAGCGTACATCGACAGAGTAACTGGAGACAACTAGTTGCAAGGCGGCTTTTGGCAACTGAGAGTAGATGATGGGATCAGTTGCCGAAATCGGTCGATGTGAGCGCTCTTACAACTGGAGATAAACAGTCGGTCTCCAGTTTCAGTCAGTTGCCCGTGTTCTACTTTTCGGCAACTAGTTGTCCTCAGATCCAGAGATATCACCCGATGTGCGCGCTCCTAATAGATCCATGGCGCGCTCCAACGTGTGTATTGCGTGTATTGCGCGCCCTCAACAGTTTATGTCAGAAAACACACTGTAGTTGAGGCCAGTTGCTGTCGATGTACGCGCTGTTATTCCCGAGACTGGTCTGCTACTAGGAGTAGCCCGTTTTCGCCAGATTGTCGATGTGTGCGGGGCAGCAACTCAAAGGCGACGGATATAATCAGTTGCCAGTCTGATGTACGCTAGGCATTAGACTGTTAGTGTCTAACAAGAAGGACTGTGGTGATGATCCAGGACACTCTACATTTTACAACATTCATAGACTTTTATCAACTCCCTATGGACCAACACATGTGTTCTATAGTTTTGTGTCTTAACTGTTGATTCTCTGCTCTGTGTTGACAATTGAAGTTGTTAGCAGCTGTTTACTTACAATGTGTTATCATCTTCAAAGGCTTCCTTAATATCCACTTTACTTGAAGAATCATCTATAAAATGCAGAAAAAATAATAACGGTCACATCATCAATCCTTAGTATAACATTATCTTATATTTACAGCATTATCTTTTATTTCTAATTACCTTTATTTAGTGCCTTTGCATATGCACTAGACTAGTAAATTGTTTAAAAAATGCCAGACACTCCATACCCCAGTGTTACTTCAAAAACATAATATAATATGTTATGTTAATTCAAAATAATGTATTACACTTCAATATTACTGTCTCTGAATTGTAATACTTTACACTACTACTGCACTACTAATTGTAAATACATACACACATACTAAATGTAGTTTATAATGCTGTTGTGTGAAGTAGATGGAGCTTTTGGTTAAAGAGCACTTAACTTATGTTCTACTTTGTCTCCAACAAACTCTAAATAATGGGAGTCTGTCCATCTGTAAAATGTTTTAAAACGTGCCACGTTGCCGCTCATCGCGAATGTATCTTCCCCCTGTTGTGTCTGTCTCTCTCTCAAACAGGACTCTTGAGAGGGTCATATCTATTAATATTGACACTTTTTGGAGGGTTTAAAGATCAAACCAGAGCTTGGACTCATCCATCGTATAGGCAGCATGTCGATGCTATTTTGCACAAACCAACTGCTCACGTTACTGACCATTGTACTGAGTAAATATTACCCAGTTTTTGATTTGTAACACCTTACATTACTGCGTTACAGCAAAAAGTAATACATACAGTAATTACATTACTTTTGTAATACATTACTCCCAACACTGCTTACCACTACATAGAGAAAGATGTCTGATTGGTGTAGTTGCCCCATCGAAAATGGCTCTGTCCAAAAAGTCAATAGTTGATTCGGTGTACACAATCTGAAAGACTTGGCTTAGCAAAAGGCACAACTCTTCGGCTGCTGCCTATGAAGTAAAATAATAAACAATGATTTAAAATATGAATAGAAATTAGAGAATTAAAGGTATGTCATAAATAAAACTGAATCTACCTTGTTATCGACTGCAAGCACCAGCAGGCAGCACACTTCCACCAGCGCACCACCGCTCTCCGATAAAGAGCTTAGCGTCTGGGACTTGTTCAGATCTGGACATGAGCTGGGGCACGGAGAACCACCCAATTCTTGTGCTAAAACAAAGCCTTATTTAATCTATGATAGAAAAGAACCCCTCAGAACCAAATGGAAGATTGTACCTGTCTTAAGCACAACCAGGTGCAGTGAGTCGTCTCTAATATAAGATACAGCAGCGATGTCGTGAATAGGCACTCTGAGGATGATGTCTTCTCCATCCCGCCACACCAGCTTTATGTTATACGCCGACAAACTCATCACCGCATCCTGCTCGGACGTCAGCTGGCCTGCCAAATGATGTGACCTCTGCAACAACGTATCTTCTTAAAAACCTCATTTTTTACACGCACACTTACACACACACACACACAAAACTGACCCTTGCATTATCAATGAGCTGCAGAACCTCTGTTCGGCTTGAAGGGTTCAAATATCCTGGCACAGACGTCAGCTGGCCGAGATACTGCGAGTTGTAACCAAACACTAAATTATTAAACTTGATGTACTAAAATTGTGATAATGTTGCATGAGGAAAGAAACATACTTTGACTTCTTTTTCAATGTAGTCATTGAGCAGGATGTCAGGGTCAATGCAGTGGTCTGGTTGTGACAGAGCGAAGGTGTGCAGCGCCCGGCGCTCAGTGGTCTTCTCCTGAGCCTTTTTGTCCCGCCCCTTCTCTCCTTTCAGGAAAACTCGCTTGAATGGAGACACTAGACCCGGCTAGAGCAACAAGAGTATGAACAGAATACAGTATTGACAATTAGGCTTGTAGTGCGGATTTACAAATAAGAAGCAAGAACACTATCTACAACTATCACCTCAATGATTGTCAAAAGCAACAAGGAGCAAATCAAGAGCTGCATTTTGTACCACATCAACTCTTCACAGCCCAATGAAATGTCCCGAGTCATATCTAGAGCCTCTCATATAAAGTTGAACACATTTTGGAATGTAACAATGAAACGCGATTTAATAAAAGTACTATTAAGTTATATTAAATGGGAAATTCATACCTCGTAATCCATGAACAACACACACACACACCCTGACAGTTCCCCTGATAGTACAACAACCACAATACTGCTGTATCTATCCACCTGCTGCACAAGACAGTGACTGCTGCAAAATGAGAGGCAGTGTGTGGGTGTGAGAGGAAGAGTGAGCACACAACAGGAAAGAGACAACCACAAATGACAACTCGTGTATACTCACTTTCAACACAAAACTTATACCACAAGAGGAGCATTAACAACAAAGTCTTAATGGTCTTTTGAAGAGAACTCATACAGTCAATGTTAAATATCAATTGGAAAACCAAACCAACGATCATTCTTTTAATGTTAATTTCACATGTCTGTTGCTGCTTATGGTGCATTTTGTAAACAAACAAAATACACAAAACGCAAACAAACTAAATACAAACAAACATAAGTACGAGTGGTGTTTCTCTACATCGCCACCACGTGGCTCTAGGGATTAACTCCCGGCATAGAGTTATTAACGACTCCTTCATTCCTTCAACTTTCATTCGCTTACGATCACAGCCATATTCCTGCTCAAACAATAAAAACACGCACATATGTCAATATTAGTCAAAAATAAAAGTTATCTCCGTCTAATAACATAATGATAAAGGACAAACGATATGATTTCCACCATGGATTTCCTGAGCAGCAAATGTAGCCTACTCAATAAAGCACAGACACGTGACTTATGTTTGTCAACAGTCAACACAGTGACAGTGAGAATACTATCATCAGCATCTATGTATGGCACTGGCATTGCTATCATTTAGGTTTAAAAGTGAGTGGCATAAACACTGACTTGATACGAGTTTCTAGTAGGATGAACAATAAACTGCACTTACCTTTTTCACTTTTTTCACATCATCATCCATCTCTAAGCCGTAATAAAATGCTTCATATTTGTTTCAGCTTGCACATCCCTTTTGGGACCACACCACGGACTGTGTGATGAATCTACGGGCTTTGTATAGCGCAGTGGTCAAATCTATGATCAACTCAATCTGAAACTCCTCAGAGATGTGCTAGCCCGTGTTAGCTTAGCATACCGCACACTGTTCGACAAAGACCTGCAGCACTGGGAAATATTCACGTTTTCTTTCTGCGTTGCTCTAGTTTGAAAGACATTTCAACGCGAAACTGATTTAGAAATATGATCAAAACTACTTAAAACTACAGTAATATAAAATAGTGATAAAAAAGTGAGACTCTAAACTTTTCAATAGTGCCGCCATTTTGGGCGTAGAATATTGCCCACAATGCACTGCACGTAGTCACTAGTCACTACAAAAACAAAAAATGATTTTATTATTTAAAATATATTTAAAATAATAATATATATTAAACATATTTACATATTAATAACGTTATAACTCGGGCATTGACCCCAAACTGGAGAAATGGTTCCAGCAGATCCCTGAAACTATCTAGTAGTAAGTAAGTAAGTAATTATTTATATACCGCCTTTTCACTGCAGAGCTGAGTCTCAAAGCGGTTTACAATTGTTATTTTTTTGGGCACTTGTCCACACAGAGATGGGAGCGGGGTCGCCAGTACAGGAGGCGCATGCCAGAACTATTTTACATATTTTTAGCGGTAGGGGAAACCGGAGTACCCGGAGGAAACCTACGCAGACACGGGGAGAACATGCAAACTCCACTCAGAAAGGCCCTGGTCCGACCGGGATTCGAACCCAGGACCTTCTTGCTGAGAGGCGAGAGTGCTATCCACTCAGCCACCGTATCTCAGGAGAAGGTCCTGAAATGTGCAGTGCTTAGAAACAGCAAAGATACTGCGATGTTTTATGCACAAAATGTCAGATTATCTACTGCATAACCTGAGTCTATAATGGTCTTTAATCTACATTATTAGGGCTTTCACCAGTACCTACAGATTTACCATCAGATTTGTTCTAAAAGTTCAGGAAGAGTTTTAGAACAAATCGAAACATTTATAGTATAATGAACGCAAGTTATAGTTCATTGTTCGACACATTCAGTGATAGGTCTTGCTCAACTACATGATTGACTGAAATAACAGCACAAATGTTTGGTTGATGTTACATCAATTAATTACATAAAGAAGACAATACAAACATGTAAATATATTGCACTTTGAAATACTATATTTATTTTTCTCTTTTGGGATGAACAGTCTGATATATGAATCTACAGTAAGGCTTAACAATACACTTTCAACATAATGTCTTTTTATTTCTGAACAAAACATACAAAAAAAACTTTAGCACCATATAGTATTAATAAGTCATATTGTTCCCAAAAAGGCGTAGTACAATACTGGACATCAGTGTTGTTGTTTTTTTTAAAGAATGGGAACCCATTTAACAGTTTACTAACATTTTATATTAAATTACAATTGAAATAATCTTCCCTTGATTCCCTGTGCTACAGAGCAGATTTCACTGACATTGAGCCAGTCTTGGGCTATATCGCTTACTGATCAATCTGTGACACATACCAGCAAGCGCAGGCTTACATTATCTAGACTCATTGATTATAAAACAAAACGATCCCAACATCTTTGACAACAGTTTTGTAAATCAGCAGCAATTTATATAGATATATATTTTTTTTCAATACAGTATCAAATCTATTTAGAAATAAAATCTCACGGCCATTTGTTCAACAATAACAATCAAATAATACACATTTTAATGACATATAAATGACAGAATTTACAACACAGCAACCACATTCTACTTATTGTCCCTTTTGAGTTCATAAGCACAAGCACATTGTGCTCCAGTGCTTGGAGGCATCTTATCATCTGGTAGGTTCCTCTCCCCGAATGAAAACCCTTCAGAGCAGATTGAATAATGGTAAACTATAATAATGTATAAAACAAGTAATTTTATTGTGTAATATATATGTATATACATACACACTTTGCATTTTTTAATGATATAGATAAAAGCTACTTTGATTATATTTATATGTGAAAGAGAGCAGTGTTTTTGGCAGAGTCTACAAAATAAAATGGCACCAGAGACTTGTATATCGCTGTAAACTGTGTTGTTCTGTGGTGCTACTTCTTAAGCATTTCAGAACAAGAAGAAATAGCACCTTGTGTCATTTTGGCGTAGCACCAGAATTATATTACAAGTCTAAAAAGAACACCCAAGAAATACAACAACTTAAGATTCTGCTTCCAACCAGAGCACTTCCATTAGACTTGTCACAATGAGCATATTGGCATGCTGGGAGGTGAAAGGATAATGGCTGAAGAGGAAATAATTGATTGTATTTATTTTGAGTGAGTCACAAAATGCAGCACACCATCTTTTACGCATTTTGCTTTCATTTTGACTTAAACTGCAGGCATTATTGTTCTGGTTAGAAAATGTACGGTATATTCTCACAAGACAATATAGAGTTACACCTTGGCACAAATCATTCATCATTGCATGGCAAAAAATGAAAAAACTAAATAATCTTCACCTATCGCTTATCTTTGCTGGCATCTGTGTTTGTGTTCACTTACTCTTTTGGTTGTGTCGTGAGACTGAATAAAAGCAAAATTTTTAAACATTAAAACGTTAACTCCACTGTACACAAGTGTAAAGTTGAGGTACAGAATTTCCATTAGGCATATTATTCTGAACACAACCTTTTGTTTGGCCAAATTTGGATGGCTCTTCCCAGTTTGTCAGTGACTCTTATGGGATGTGTTTACAGGTCAATAACAAATGGTTATAAACATTTTATTCTACGCCATTAAAGCTGGAGTACCTAACTTTAGAACAAAAAAGTCAGTTATTTTTCACATGCTTGTATTGTTGGCCTCTGTCACATCTTTAGATCAACTTTTTCATAAAGAACATGCTTATTCAAAGAGAGTGAAAAAGAGGACCACCCTCACCCTCAGCCAATCAGCTTTGAGCCCAAAGTGTCAAACAGTGATTCATATAGGGCTCTATCTTACAAATACACTACCGTTCAAAAGTTTGGGGTCACATTGAAATGTCCTTATTTTTTAAGGAAAAGCTGTAGATAACTTTAAACTAGTCTTAACTGTAAAGAAATACACTCTATACATTGCTTATGTGGTAAATGACTATTTTAGCTGCAAATGGTTTTTGGTGCAATGTTGTAATTGCTGCAAATGGAGGATTCTTTGACAAAAGCAAAGTTGGATGTACAACAAATCTTATTTCAAATACAAATCATTATTTCTAACCTTGTCAATGTCTTGACTCTATTTTCTATTCATTTCACAACGTATGGTGGTGAATAAGTGTGACTTTTCATGGAAAACACTTGGGTGACCCCAAACTTTTGAACGGTAGTGTATACAAAAGGGACAGTATTTTACTTTCACTTGACTTTTTATGTTGGGTCAAATGACACATGTTATCTGTGAAAAAAGTTAAGTACCCCAGCTTTGAATAAATCACAATGTTTTGAAGACATTCAAGAGGGAAATCCGCTAAAACGATCAATGTGGAAAAGCTCATTTCAGTTTCAAAAGCCATCGTTTTGCTGTTAACGAAACAGCTTTACAATTAAGATAACTGATTTTGGACTGGACATACTGGGGTGCCTGATTGCTGTAAATTGGTTGAACAATGTTTTGGTGATTGTGCTGGTAACAATAAAGCAGGAAAGGAAGATAGACATTGGCATTGTTTTGCGGACCTGGCTGCAGTGGCTGAAGCGAAGCACCCAAAAAAACAAGGCACAACAAGAAGTGAGGAGAACAAGCTTGCTGTTCAAACGCTCTTGCTTTGTGCTGTGTCCGTCAGATATAGACGTGGGGCATGTCTGCAGGGTTTGTTATGACTAAGTGAGGTAACCTGAATAATACTCTTCATGTACTGATACAGCTTCCATTGCACACATGAACCAAACTGTAATGTCTTTCTATACTAATTACATCACAAACAAAGCATTATACAACATCATGCACCACTATAAATGCAGCCTATGCCCCGTATAGTTGTAATGCTATTTTTATCTGTTTCATACTAAACAAAAATAATAAATGAAAATCACAGTGTAATTGCACCTGATATGGAGACGTTGGTCACTGTTAAATTATGCACCAATATGCCCGGCAGCCAACTACCACAAACACTGCCTTAGACTTGTTGATGTTCAAAACACAAAAGTGCAAAATAGGTTATTTTAGTCCCATTAAACCCCCTGATAGGGATCTAGCATATTGAAGAAAATGTTGGCCCTTGAGGACATACTAAGGAATGAGAACTGCATTGAGACACCCCTGAGTCAGCTTGTACAGTGGTCCTAGTACATGCTCCTGAGGAACTCATGTATTGGCTGTATATTTAGACTCGTTAAATCATAGCAATGGCTATTTATTCACAACAATAAATATAAATTCATGTGGTTCATGTGGAATTACAGTGGATAAATTGCATAAACATCTTGACGAGTGCATTGGATGTTGGCTTCTCCCTCCCCACAGCTGACCCAACAGTTCTCAATCAGTCAGGTCGAACACCATATTGACCACAGGAGAGCGCCCTCCTAATGCTCCAGTAGTGCACCTCATCGCATGTTCTCAAGCCTCTATCCCATTCGTTTATTTATCAGTATTTTCTCGAATGATTACTCACAAGGCTTAGCAACACAGAAACAACTAAGAGGGCGGAGCAGCAACCAAGGATGGACTTGAACAGTGAAGAATTTAAAGGTGTATCTTTCCAATATTGGCCAATCCCTCCACCTGTTCCCTTTCAGCCCTGGCAAAAACCCCCTCTTGTCCTTTTCAGACCTTCACCACACTTACTTTTACAGTACGATGTTAGCAGGCATTCGTGGCCACAATAAGCAAAAAGTTCTGGTGAAGGTCAAGAAAAGGAATCTGTCATGTCTGTGCGTAAGTCCTTGAGTTCCATGAATGAATGCATTTACAGGTCAACAGCACATAATCATAGCAAACACTAGAAACACACAGAACACATTATAGGATCATCATCAGTTGGATCATTGAGTAAATACATACGAAATGCATTCGTAATGCAGGAAATTTTTCAATAGCCCTAATTTTTTCTTGCTCCTTGGACTTAGAAGGCTTTTATTGTTGTGGTTTTTGTGATTAGATACACTGCTCATCCCAAAGATGTGTGTGGCGGAGGGCCCCTGCTGGCTGGGCTGGAAAGCTCTTTCAGAGTGTAATAGCGGCACAGCGGGTCTACACATGGCACATACTGTATTTTGCAGTCTAGTGTTTCAAAAGGGCAGATCAATTAACAAGCCCTACAGTGCATTTGGCGGTGTTTAAGATGTCTCATGCACTCCTAAATTCTACACGTGGGAGCAAGAGGACACACAAACACATGTTGAAGAGTAAAATATCAGCAGATTTCAAAGGACATCCAGTTGTTGCACCAATTGAGTATTCATTTATCTTCCTAGTATATCTTGCATGAAAAATGGATAGAAAAGGGACAGGGATGTTTACCTATAGTTAGAGGGGAATGGTGGAGGACGCTTGCACTAACACAACACATCTAACTTCCCACATTTATATAAAGGATCTCTTATCTTATCTCTATACAGAACTATTCCTACCGGTATGTCTTTCAACAATCTTTAAAAAGTCTTTGGAATGTTTAAACCAGGAAGGACCAATCAAAAAAAAGTTGTGCTCATTTTGTTGTACATTTACATTCGTCTATAGATTATACTAGTACACTGTATGACTGAAATTCTGTGCTTGAAGTTAAGTCACTGTGCGGCTTGCAATGATAACTCATGTCCAGTAGAGAGCAGTGCGCCCTGCACAATCAAATGCACAGCCTGAACTGATCGAAGTTCAAGCTTACTTACTGTAGATCACTTCAGACGCTTATAGGTAATTGGTTTATTCAAAGTTTACTTTTAAATGACCCACTGGCAGTAAATGTTGTGCAAAGGCCTTTCCCCTCCATCATTCCCATCTGATTTGTGCTGGTCCCATCACTGGGACACAAAATAGAAAAAACAAAGTATTCACCAATACAGTGAAAAACGAGACTTTTCATAATGAAACATTCATGTATTTTCAACACACTCATCCTTCAAGCACAACTGTATAGAATCTCTCTCCATAATGTAGATACCTTTTTGCCAATAATAAACTGGGATGGTGTGTTTAGTCTGTCCTGACAGACTGTTTTGATGAATGAAACTAACTGAAAATGATAGATTCCATTGGCAAACTGACTGAAATACTAATCTTACAAAACGGAAGTAAAGTTGTATTTGTCGAAGTGGAGCTTTCAGAGTGATGACTCGTATTGCAGTAGTTCATACAGGAGCGGGCCATCTCTGTACCTGATGCCCACTGCGTTCGGGCTTATGAACTGGAGCACATTTATGGTCCTACGCAGGCGCCGATCCACAAAGTGTGCATCCCAAGCAGGGTATCGCTTTCTAGGCATGTCTATTTTGATGAGTGGGCCTTCAGGCCTGATTGGCCGCCCTGCAGCGTCTACTGGTTCTGTGGAGCGCACCTGGAACACAGGAAGGCAAGTGTCTGTGGCAGTTTCATCCAGCTCCTCAGGGTCTATAGCCATGCCCCGAGTGGGTGTGGCCTGAGACCCTCGAGGGCCTGGAGTGGGGGCCATGGGTTCTGCCTCTGGAGGCAGTGGGAGACCCCAGAGGAGCTCAGCACAGCAGGAGCTGGCCAGAACCCTCATGCGGGGGCCCATAGGGTGGAGGACACTGTAGTAGAGCACCATGCAAGCCACACCTGAGGCAAAGCACAGGAATACTCCGCAGAGGGCGAGGGAGGCGTACGCGTCTGTAGTGACGGGGTCCCGGTAAGCATACCACAGACAGCTGAGGAGAGTGTTCTCCAACAGGACCACAATGTAATACACTACCATCCGGTAGCGGGTCTGGCCCTCTTGAACATTAAACCAACAGAAAACATAGACCACACCCACCACCATGTTGAACAACACCTCCTCCCACTTGGACATGCAGAAGTCAGTACCACCATGGATTACCCAGAAAGCCATGGCGCACCAGTGTAGCACCACAAAAATACCAAAGTAGATGTGGAAAACAGAGGCAAAAAGGGCAAAGGAGAGCACCCGAGAGAAGATAGTGAAGAGGCGCCAAAAGAGGTGCACCAGAGCACCGCGATAACTCATGCTCTTCTTGTCATCACGGGAATCACGCAGAAGTTTCTGGTATGAAGCGAGCACCCATGCCAAAGACAGAAGAGAGGACAGAGCAGACATACCTGCAAAAGGAAGAGATACAACATACAATAAAGAATCCTATCATTTTCTATTTTACCAACACCTCAAATGTGATGTAATCCAGCACTGTTCCCTGCATTAAAAATCATCATGGCCACAAACCACAGGTACTGTATAATACAGTAACACGTTAAACAGTTCAGACCGCAAGTACTACATCTGTGTCTTAACCTCCAGAAGGTAATATGATGGAGAGATGTGGATAATCATCTGCCCCTTATGGACCAATGGCTCTATGTTTTGGCAAATTCAACGGTTTTGTAAAGTCCATCCATCCATTCGTTTTCTTCCCCTTTATCCATTTCTGGGCCGGGGTTTTGTCCTCTGAGATAACTTGTGATTTATGACTATACAGGAATACATTTAATTGAATTGAATTATTTGGCCAATATTCAAGCATACTGGGGAAAACATCAATTTAATAACATTAATTTGAGATATTTGATCCTAAAGTGTCGAGCTGGTTTCTACGCCACATGTTTCTGAGGCCCTGGGACAGAACAGGGTTGTGCTTACACTGCAGCCCTTCGGCCTGGTTGCTCTGGATCATGATGCAGAGCTGCAGCACCAGCTGGGGGGCGCTCTCCAGGAAGGTCTCCAGCAGCCGGAGCATGTTCACATCTGCATACTCGTACATCATGGCCAGGTAGAAGCGGCGCTGGTTCTCCTTCTGTCTGTGAGTCTGAATGCCCAAGTACATGGTCCGGATGTATCTGTAGATGTAAAAGAGAAAAAAGGATTTTGTCACTGTTATCGAACGAACACAGCAGCAGATAACTCAATGCTAAAGGATGAAGTAAAAACAAAGTAACAACAAGGTAGGAAAATATGTGTATCGAGATGAACTATCAATTTTCAATATTTGGTCAGAAATCCTTTTACAGGAAATTACAACCTGAAGTCTGGAGGTCATAGACATCACCAGGCGCAGTGTTTCTCCCTGGTGATGCTCTGCCAGGCCTCTATTGTGAAGGTGTTAATTTCCTGCTTGTTCATGAGGTATTCAGGGGTTTTTGTACTTAAGTCTTGCTTCTTCATCATGCTAAAATTTGAGATTTCAGACTTCTTTCCTTATTATGCAAAATATAGGGATTTTATCCAGCTTCTCTCCATGCTAGAGTTATAGATATTATTATATTTAGTTATTGCTCATTTATCTTGTGCTGTGTGCTCATTCCTACTGTTCTGTAACAGGTGATGCAACACTGACATTTCCCCACTGCAGGACGAATAAAGGATCTCCTAATCTTAATCTTAATTTCTGTTCAGTTTTGTCTTCAGCAAGTGGAAAGCTTTCTCATTTTGATTCAGCTTATGTGAATGCATTGGCCATTGTATAATAACCTACATTAAAAATCTCTGTGGAAGCTTTTGATTATTGTCTTCTGAAGTGTCAGTGCAATCCATGAGTTTGGAAGTAATCGCTTTAGAATGTATTCTGCTGCTTTTGTCAGAAGTTAGGGAATCAGTTCTATTGACAGCCATACAAGCCCACGGCATGTTTATGTTTTAGATAATTGGAGGAGTTCCTTATTCTCATCTGTCCATAGGTTGTTTTTCCAGAACTGTACATACTTTTTATGTTGTTTGGACATCTCTAATCTGGTCATTCTCACCAGTTGACATATATTTCTAACAGTCCATGTTTTCTCTAGCGAAGTCTGTATTTTCCCCAGTGAAGACTAAAGCTGGGCGAAAAAGTTGGTAAGTCAAATCGATTTCATATTTTCAGAAAATCTATGTATTTGTTATTGTTACATTTTTCAAATGTCTCCATTTTAAAGACTGTGCATACACTAGACATATGTAAATCAGATGCACAAACAGGTCATTTATTTTTGGGTAATGTATTAACAAATAGTATACAGTTACATGTAACAATGAAAAGTTAATTAATTGTACAACAATTAAGACAGAGACCTGCATCAAGACGAGAAAAATCATACACTTAGAGACCAACAATTAAAATAATTTAAGGAGCACTACAAACGTGAATTGACAATCACATACGTAGCAGTGGTTGCAGCTGGTAAATTAGGGGAAAAAAATCTACATGTCCGTCTGATGGTTGTGGTGGCACAGGCATTTTGTAACGTGGATACTTGTTTCACCATATTTTCCACACAAGATATTATAGCACAACATTATTCCTAAAACATCAATGATAAAGTAAATAGCTTATCTTAGCTTATCAATTTGAAAGGCCAGAAATAATGCTTAGAAGCTATTCTCAAAACAGGAAAATGCTTAGATATACAGTATGTTCTTGATATCAGTATCTTAGAAATAAGCTTACATCATTTCAAGTTAATAAATGTTATAAACAATGTACTTTGTTGAAATTCGTCAGGCTCTGATATTATTTGTACTATGAGTAAATGTTATGCTTTTGGATCTAAGATGGACCACAGGAAGAGTAGTCTCCGCTCTACACAGACTAAAGGGGATCCTAAATAAATAAATAAATCTAGCACAATGACAGCTAGTACTATGACTTAGTACTCACATGAGAATGGCTTTGTAAAAACAAGTGATTTCATCAGCGTACGAAAGAGCTTTACCTGCTCTAAAGCATCAGAAAACATGGCCACTCAGTCTGGACCAGCCGTGACGTCTGCGCTGCAAACTCTATCGTGACTTGTACAATGGCAGCAGCATCTCTAAATCCTGAGCTTGATGGGAAGGCAGTCAAGCGAGGACAATAGAGTAGTGTAGACAGAAATAGACCCCAGACACACAGTTCTCCAAGCCAAAAAAGGACAAAAACAAAAAAGCACTATAGTCAAAAGTAAGAATGCAGCATTTCTGATTAGGAAGCAGTGTTCAGAACAAATATGTGTGTTTACGGTTCAAATGCAAGGGATGCGAGAAGTATTGATCTACTAATGTGAAAAGGGCACTTGTACTAGTCTTGAGTTGAACAAGTGGTCAGTCCATTTGGTACTGCAGCAAAATCTTCCTCCTCCACAGCACCATATCTCCTCAGCAACTCTGTCACCTTGGGGATCGTGATTTCATATTCCATCATACATCTATCTACTCCATGGACAGTTTAAGAGATAAGTTATTATATTCAATGTATCATAACCATCTATCTAATTGTATTTATTTGACAGGGTCCTTCAAATTGGACATACGGTATAGCTACAAGCCGGTTCTCACCCGTAGTCTCTTAATGGGCAGACACAAAGTGACAGCAGGTTTACAGTGTGCAAAGAAGTAATAAATAATAGAATGGTCTAGTTTGTATTTGACCTGAAGTGGTGTTTCTTATTAATACTATTACTATTGTTTGCTTTTTATAATGACCAATTTAGTTGTTTTATTTGTGTGGATGGATGTGTTTTTGCTGGTACTGGAAACCTGAATTTCTCCTCCAACGGGGATCAATAAAGTATCTAACTAACTAATTCATTTATAATACAGATAAAATGCAACACCCCTAACCATACACAACACATATATAACACATAATTATTTACGCCTTATTAATGACTGCACACTTGGATTTTTTTTCCTATTAGAATTTATTTTGGAGAGCACTTAATGCAGTTGACATGGATGTAATGTTTTATGATGTGTTTTTGTTGTCATCTTGATTTGTTCTTTCTGTTTGGACTTCTGATCTCTCTTAAGACAGGGGAACGGGATGAACATGTACTTTTTGGCCCGCAAAAATCACCATTGTCTCCAGAGGTAAAAGCTGGCATTCGGTGACATTTTACGCTGAACTGGTAAATGTCACGTGGTACAAGTGGACTCCTTCTGTACTAATGACGTGCCACACAGAGCAGCGTGGGCCTTTTGTCAGTGTCGGGCTGTTCCAGTGTGCATGGGTCTGTGTGTGTGTGTGCATGTGTGTGTGTGTGAGAGAGAGTGTGTGTCCTTCCGATACATCCCGGTAATCTGAAATACTCAATCACTAACACTGATCCTCAGGCCTTCATGGCTTTCTCACAGCGACAGGCGAAAGGATGATGGAAGAAGAGTTCGTTTGCAGTTTATATAAGAAAAGCTGAAAATGCCTTTGGAAGAATCAAGATTTAAAAGGACATAGAAGCTGGACCCCAATATTTAGGAAATAACTGATAAATATTGTCAGTATAAGGTTTGTTTGTCTATGGTCTATGGTTCAGAAACGTGGGGGATTTTTATTACTTGGTTCAAAAGCTAAATGATAATAAATAGTGTGTGTAATTTTTAATTGAGTGCTATACTGCTATTGTTCAATGGGCATTAATAATACATTTTGATTATTATGGCTGAAAAGAGGATATGATAATCTTATAGTCTTTTCTTGACCCTTAGCCGTAATTGCTCACTGAAAGGGTCATAGAGTCACCATGGTATTGATTTGTTAGACCAACAGCGAACTCGTAATGGGGCATATTTTCTGCGCAGACGAAAGGGGTCAACTTATGGGGTCATGAGTCGACACAGAACAAGCTCAGGTAACCTCTGCAAAAAGTCCTGTTTGAACACATTTATATTTCTAAATGCATCGTAAGTAGAAGATAAACACAGAGATTGAGCGAGATTAGATCCTTTACAAAGTTGTGTCATTCTTCTCTTGTTTGTTGACATTTGTGTTTTTCAGCAAAATCTTTCCGCAGTTTGTCTATATTCCCGAGCTGTCAGAACAATCTCAACTCACTCAATCTCTTCCTCTCCACACTTTGGTCTCGCACTTACAGCAAGATTGTGAAACACTGAACTTTTACTTTCCCACTTGGTCTGCATTGGCGTGGAAACACTATCTTTCCCCAAACAACCACACTATGCGACATATGCACTATACCAAGCCAGACCAGTGTGTAAGTAACAGGGAATTCCTAACAGGGCCCTCCCTCAAAGCACTTTAGCTCGTTTCCCTTTTTGCTCTGTAGCTGCAAATGCTAAGCTTCTCATGAATTATTTGTGCTTGGATCATAGCACTAGCTCATGGCTCATTAAGCAGAGGCGTACACATGGTCCAACAGCCCGGGCAGGCCGTGTTCTCTATAGCCAACCTTCTGCCGGGACAGACCACAACTGAGGTCAACTGGGGAGATACTTTTGCCGATAGAGTAGTCATGGGTAAATTAAACGGGAACTCCGGAGCTTGTGTCCGTCTTCTTAAAACAAATGTCGTCAAAGTGATTCGTCAGAGCTTGCGGCACAACCATAGAGTGTGTATAGGCGGACACCACTATGGACACTACATGTTTGCACACTTCCTGTTGATTTATCTGGTTTTATTTTGATATATTTTTGCTCTCTTGTTTTACTTCCTGTCTGTCTTGTTGATTGTTTTCCCCTCCCTTATGTGCTACATCTGAGTCTACCTGAGTGTCTTTGGACCCTGTGCTCAGGTGGCCCCCCATGTCTTGTTCCCGGCTTCAGTTTTTACTTTTTGCGGCATCTATTAAATGATATTATTTTTGCAGATCTGCTTTTGGGTCCTTCCTTGTTTATCCGTGACACTTCTGTCTTTTTGCACAAGCTGAGTGATTCTATCCATGCCAAATATCACAATGTACATTTCTCCATTGTGAGATCAATAAAGTTTATCTTTGCCCAATAGGGTTAGGGTTAGGGTGCCATTTGACACTTATGCTCCAACTTTCTTTTTTTGCAGTTGACATTTAAAAGTAAACTCTTTCTTAGTGACTGTTTGTGTCACAATCACCATTTTGGGTTAAAAAAAAAAAAAAAAAAAAA